TTCAGTTTCTAGTTCAGTTCTAGTTCAGTTCTAGTTCAGTTCTAGTTCAGTTCTAGTTCAGTTCTAGTTCAGTTCTAGTTCAGTTCTAGTTCAGTTCTAGTTCAGTTCTAGTTCAGTTCTAGTTCAGTTCTAGTTCAGTTCTAGTTCAGTTTCATAGTTCAGTTCTAGTTCAGTTCTAGTTCAGTTCTAGTTCAGTTCTAGTTCAGTTCTAGTTCAGTTCTAGTTCAGTTCTAGTTCAGTTCCTAGTTCAGTTCAGTCAGTTTCAGTTCAGTCTAGTTGCAGTTCTAGTTCAGTTCTAGTTCAGTTCTAGTTCAGTTCTAGTTCAGTTCTAGTTCAGTTCTAGTCAGTTCTAGTTCAGTTCTAGTTCAGTTCTAGTTCAGTTCTAGTTCAGTTCTAGTTCAGTTCTAGTTCAGTTCTAGTTCAGTCTAGTTCTAGTTCAGTTCTAGTTCAGTTCTAGTTCAGTTCTAGTTCAGTTCTAGTTCTTTAGTTCAGTTCTAGTTCAGTTCTAGTTCGTTCTAGTTCAGTTCTAGTTCATTCAGTTCTAGTTCAGTTCTAGTTCAGTTCTAGTTCAGTTCTAGTTCAGTTCTAGTCAGTTCTAGTTCAGTTCTAGTTCAGTTCTAGTTCAGTTCTAGTTCAGTTCTAGTTCAGTTCTAGTTCAGTTCTAGTTCAGTTCTAGTTCTAGTCAGTTCTAGTTCAGTTCTAGTTCAGTTCTAGTTCAGTTCTAGTTCAGTTCTAGTTCAGTTCTAGTTCAGTTCTAGTTCAGTTCTAGTTCAGTTCTAGTTCAGTTCTAGTTCAGTTCTAGTTCAGTTCTAGTTCAGTTCTAGTTCAGTTCTAGTTTCAGTTCTAGTTCAGTTCTAGTTCAGTTCTAGTTTCAGTTCTAGTTCAGTTCTAGTTCAGTTCTAGTTCAGTTCTAGTTCAGTTCTAGTTCAGTTCTAGTTCAGTTCTAGTTCCGTTCTAGTTCAGTTCTAGTTCAGCATTCTAGTTCAGTTCTAGTTCAGTTCTAGTTCAGTTCTAGTTCAGTTCTAGTCAGTTCTAGTTCAGTTCTAGTTCAGTTTCTAGTTCAGTTCTAGTCAGTTCTAGTTCAGTTCTAGTTCAGTTCTAGTTCAGTTCTAGTTCAGTTCTAGTTCAGTTCTAGTTCAGTTCTAGTTCAGTTCTAGTTCAGTTCTAGTTCAGTTCTAGTTCAGTTCTAGTTCAGTTCTAGTTCAGTTCTAGTTCAGTTCTAGTTCAGTTCTAGTTCAGTTCTAGTTCAGTTCTAGTTCAGTTCTAGTTCAGTTCTAGTTCAGTTCTAGTTCAGTTCTAGTTCAGTTCTAGTTCAGTTCTAGTTCAGTTCTAGTTCAGTTCTAGTTCAGTTTGTAGTTCAGTTCTAGTTCAGTTCTAGTTCAGTTCTAGTTCAGTCTAGTTCAGTTCTAGTTCAGTTCTAGTTCAGTTCTAGTTCAGTTCTAGTTCAGTTCTAGTTCAGTTCTAGTTCAGTTCTAGTTCATTTAGTTCAGTTCTAGTTCAGTTCTAGTTCAGTTCTAGTTCAGTTCTAGTTCAGTTCTAGTTCAGTTCTAGTTCATTCTAGTTCATTCTAGTTCAGTTCTAGTTCAGTTTAGTTCAGTTCTAGTTCAGTTCTAGTTCAGTTCTAGTTCAGTTCTAGTTCAGTTTCAGTTCTAGTTCAGTTCTAGTTCAGTTCTAGTTCAGTTCTAGTTCAGTTTTCTAGGCATTCTAGTTCAGTTTCTAGTTCAGTTCTAGTTCAGTTCTAGTTCAGTTCTAGTTCAGTTCTAGTTCAGTTCTAGTTCAGTTCTAGTTCAGTTCTAGTTCTTCTAGTTCAGTTCTAGTTCAGTTCAGTTCTCAGTTCTAGTTCTAGTTCAGTTCTAGTTCAGTTCTAGTTCAGTTCTAGTTCAGTTCTAGTTAAGTTCTAGTTCAGTTCTAGTTCTAGTTCATTCTAGTTCAGTTCTATTCCGTTCTAGTTCGTTCTAGTTCAGTTCTAGTTCAGTTCTAGTTCAATTCTAGTTCAGTTCTAGTTCAGTTCTAGTTCAGTTCTAGTTCAGTTCTAGTTAGTTCTAGTTCAGTTTCTAGTTCAGTTCTAGTTCAGTTCTAGTTCAGTTCTAGTAGTTCTAGTTCAGTTCTAGTTCAGTTTCTTTATTATATACACTTTTGAATGTAGTGCTCCATTTATTCGGTTTTGTCGAACTTAACTTATTTAATTGTTTTTTTGTTATAAACATAATATTTGTTTTATAAAAAAATAATTGTTAATTTATTATTGCTGTTTTTTTTTTATTTTTTATTAATTACGGAAGAGAAATCGTAGAGCTGTAAATAATTGTTATAATTTATTAAATCTATATAAAACTATAAGAATTTATGATTCATTTCAATGTTTTGCATAAAGTTGGTGTTAAAGTGTTTGTATGCACTTATAGTACGCAATTATGAAATAATTTATTATATTTTTAAACTGTGAATTTCCGTATAAATATGTGTGTATGTATGTACAACTACTTCATTTATGTTTTTCAATTATTTAAACATTCATTATAAATAGCTAGAGGGTATAAACAATTTAAGTGTTTGTTAAACAAAATTGAATAAATGAAACAACAGTTATTATCTTTTCATCTAACTTTTACTTTCAAAAACCCCCAATTGAAAAATGAAGAAGAAGTAAGAGTGTTAAATTCGACTATGCCGAATATTTAGTAACCACCATAGGGGCATGTGTGGTAAATTTTTTAGGGTTATTTTAATGAGACTCCATATGTGATTATGTGACAGAATTGCTTTTCGTGAAAAAATCTTATATAAAAAGGGATCGTGGAATATTGTCTATAAAGAAGAACGATCATGAAAAGTTTTCGACAAAGAAGTTTTATATAGAGAACAGATAGACAACAGTTTTCTATAGAAAATTGTTCGATGAAAGTTTTTCTAGAAAATTGATCGCGGAAAGTTTTCTCTAAAAAACTGATCGATGAAATTTTTAAACTGATCGTCCGGTTACTGATCTACAAATGATCACAACAAACTAGTCAACGACAGTTTCAATAAAGTTTTTTTTTAAGTTATAAGTGATCGACAAAAGTTTTCTATAGAAAACTGAAGGACAGAAGTTTTCCGTTTATGACTGATCATTGGATTTCTCCATTATAGAAAGAGAAATATATAAAATTAATCGTGACAATTGTTTTTTTTATAGAAAACTAATCGTATGAAACTTTTTATAATAAACTGATCTACAAACATTTTGAATAAGTAGGTATCTATAAAAAAACTTATTGTTAAACAGTTCGATAGAAGTCTTTTATATAAAACTGATCGTGATAATTTTTTCATAGACAAAAGTGATCTTGGGAAACTTTTTATAGAAAATATTTTGTAAAAGGTAAAAATTGTCGTTGAAATTTTTTATAGAAAACTGATGATAGAAAAATGTTCTATAGGATACTCATTAAATCACTGGGAATATTTTAATTGTTAGAAGATTTGTTATGCAAATAAGTAATTAAATTATTATCAACGATTTTTTAATATTATGATAATTAGAAAAGTACAATTTACATTACTTACTGTTTGTTTTTTTTCTTTTTAGATTAATATGCAATATTATGGTAAGTAAATCTTGATATTTTGCTAAATAAAAAAAAATTTTCCAAAATCCAAAAAAAGTCAATATTTGAAAGAACTGTTCAATTCCATCTTATCGCATTTGCAGCCTAATTAACGCTCTAATGACTGTTTAAACAGAAAGACAGACGGACATAGCTAGATTGTCTTAAAATAAGGACACAGGAGATGATAGAGACAGACGGACATCGCTAGATCGTCTTAAAATATAGATTAGATTTTAAACATTTGCTATGCCAAAATAACCTTATCAATAAAAACTTAATCAGTGATTTTTGTCCCTGCCGTTAGTGTTCTATCGTGTTTCTAATAGACGTACAGACATTTGGACAAACAGAGATATAGACGGACATAGCTAGATCTTAAGGTATACATTTGTGCATAGCAGGCTTGGGGGGTAATGACTACATTTTCAATTACAATTACATGTAATTGTAATTGAAGTTTTGCCAATTACAATTATTTTTAATTGTAATTGAAGTTTTGCCAATTACAATTGCTTGTAATTGTAATTGAAGTTTTGCCAATTACAATTACTTGTAATTGTAATTGAAGAAATTCCAATTACAATTACATGTAATTGGAAAAATTTCAATTACAATTACAAGTAATTGTAATTGGTTATTGTTCAATTACACATTGCAAGTAATTGTAATTGACCTTGTAATTAATTACTTTGTGTAATCATTACCCCCATGCCTGGTGCATAGTTCTACGTTCAATATTTCGATCTGTTACAAATGTAATAACAAATTTATTATATAAAATATATAACAAAGAGTTATTTATCGGCACCTGAAACGCAAACGGCCTTAACTAACCAAAAATTCAAAATCGATTTTATTGTTGATTATAATATATTGCATCAAAACAAATGTCCACACAAAAATTGGACTCCTCCGACCAAAATTAGCTATTTATTGACAAAAAACAAAAGGCCCTATCTACAAACACATTTAAATATTAAAGATAAAAAGTCCAATTTATCCATTTTTTTAAACGCCATTGTCAACAATCATAACAACTGATAGGTTTCACTATTAAACAATTTGTTTATTTACTACAATAAAATCGCGTTGATAGAAACGAACTTTTCAATTTCAATAATTTTTTGCTTCTCCTGTAAAATTTTAAAAATGTTAGATAGGATCGTTTGCGTTTTAGGTGACGATATGTATGTATTTAGGTTTGTACCTAATTGTCCAAAAAAAAGGAGCCAAAGGTGGGTCATCGACTTGAATTTTGTATTTTCAAATGCAAAAACCAGCTCTCAACAAATATCTTATTCTTAATAATTCCTTTCTCTTAAATAATCACAGAATTTTGTAAAAATCATTTAAATTTATATAAATTTATTTAATAGCAAATAAAAAAAAATCTAAAATAAACATCAGTCTCTTAAAATTGTAATATAAAATAGATGAATAGTCTCGCACAAAAAAAAAATATACATAATGAATAGCATTGAAATGAAACATTCATCCTTTTCTATTATTCTTTCAACTCATTGAAGCAAAACTAATCATCTAATTGACACAGCGAAGCAGCACCACGATTAATCCAATGCATTTGATTTCTTGTACACGGTAAATCCATGTACATTACAAAGTTCGTCGAGTGGCCAGTAGTGGATAAAATACCACGCCTTTCACTTGTTTTATATACAGGACATTCGTAGATTTGCTTGCCACCACCATCGCCGTCATCATCATCATCGTCTTTCGCCACACAGGACTTTTGTTGACCTTCCATTTTCATTGTGGGCATTAGACAAACAACTGGGATAGTATCGAAAAGTATCTTTGAAAAGGATTCATCGACGGCGTGTATGGTACGATTCCAGCGACAACCTTCAAGGAAAAGGCCCTAAAAGAAATATATAAGAAAGGAATTGCTTTAGGAAATTATTTAAATATTTCTTAGTTTAGGTTTGTTTTAAAAGGAATTTAAATTTTTAGCTAAATATCTTTATTTTTCATTACAATTTCCTTGTTTTAGAAACTTTTACTTTGGCATTTAATCTTACTTTTATTAATTTCGTATCCTCATTATTTTCCAGTTTATCCTTTAATGTTGTTAGCATGTGTGTGTGTGTGTGATAAGAATAGTTGTTTTATTAAGTGTTTTATGTCAAAGTTCAAACTTTCATTTTTAAGTTTACTTTCTTTTTCTCCTCCACTTACCCTTATGTAAGCACCCAATACAGGTGCTTCATCTGCTTCCATTTCATATTTGGTAACTTCAAATTCAATACGCACCATATCGATTTGAAAACGATTCTTTCTCGAATAGTTTTGTAAAACTCCGGTCATAAACGATTGTGTAAAATAGAAACCCGATAGCCAGTAAACAATCGGTTCACCTTTATCTAACCAAGTTTGAAAGAATTCCAATCTAAAATAAATAAAATATAAAAAGTTTTATAAAAAGATAATACAACAAGTAATTGAGTAAATTTAAGCCAACATATAGTAGTATATAGGAGAAATATAGGAGTTAATATCAGCTTTTTAAAAGGTTAGTAACGAAATACCAATAATAAGGTAAGCAGTAGCTTTTGAATCTTTAAGTAAAAAATAAGCTTAAAAAGCTTTTCTGAAATTTCGTCCCGCCTTTATCTATTGTTAGTTTTATGCTTAAAAGATTTTATTAAGCTTTAAGCCAGAGAAACCAAAAAGCTTTTAAAAAATGCTTAAATAAACAAATTTTGCAAGTTATATTGAAACGTCAAATTATTGTCAATTGGAAGCTTTTAAAAGCTATGGTACTTTAGAAAAGCTAAGCTTTTTTTCAAGAGGCTTAAAAAAGCCACCATTTTCGCTTGCTGTAGTGCTTTTGTTATAATCACCACTATCGACACAAATCAAACTTGTTCCTTTTCTTTTCCTTTTGTTAATGTTAATTAATTTTTACACATACTTTTTTTCCTCAAAATTTCCTTTCACATTAAATCTTATTTCTTATTTCTTTTTATCAGAAGGAATTTAAAACATAAACTTTTTTCCACTTTGGATAACTCAACACTTCCGTTAAAAAGCGTAAGATTCTGTTGAATCAAAAAAGTTTTGCAAGAGAAATATTTTCAAAAAAATGTGATAAAAAGTAAAGAGAATAAAAAAGGAAAATCATGCAACATCCTGGATATGATTTCTCAATGCATGTATGTTTGTATGATTTCTTCTTTCCAGCACTTTATCATATTTAATGTTTGATGTACTTGAGACAGCATTTTAAAGACGGTTAAGTATAAGTATAAAAAAGTTGAAAAAAGTGTAACACAATATTGAGATAATAGGCAGAGAATAGCAGGGAAGGAGTTAAAGAAACATGTACAACTGAACTAAACCTGAAGTATAACTGAACTAGAAGTAAACTATAACTGAATTAGAACTGAACTAGTATTGAAATATAGCTTAACTAGAACTGAACTAGAACTGAACTAGAACTGAACTAGAACTGAACTGGAACTGACTAGAACTGAACTAGAACTGAACTAGAACTGAACTAGAACTGAACTAGAACTGAGCTAGAACTGAGCTAGAACTGAAGCTAGAACTGAACTAGAACTGAACTAGAACTGAACTAGAACTGAACTAGAACTGAAACTAGAACTGACTAGAACTGAACTAAGAACTGAACTAGAACTGAACTAGAACTGAACTAGAACTGAACTAGAACTAGAACTAGAACTGAACTAGAACTGAACTAGAACTGAACTAGAACTGAACTAGAACTGAACTAGAACTGAACTAGAACTGACTAGAACTGAACTAGAACTGAACTAGAACTGAACTAGAACTGAACTAGAACTGAACTAGAACTGAACTAGAACTGAACTAGAACTGAACTAGAACTGAACTAGAACTGAACTAGAAACTGAACTAGAACTGAACTAGAACTGAACTAGAACTGAACTAGAACTGAACTAGAACTGAACTAGAACTGAACTAGAACTGAACTAGAACTGAACTAGAACTGAACTAGAACTGAACTAGAACTGAACTAGAACTGAACTAGAACTGAACTAGAACTGAAACTAGAACTGAACTAGAACTGAACTAGAACTGAACTAGAACTGAACTAGAACTGAACTAGAACTGAACTAGAACTGAACTAGAACTGAACTAGAACTGAACTAGAACTGAACTAGAACTGAACTAGAACTGAACTAGAAACTGAACTAGAACTGAACTAGAACTGAACTAGAACTGAACTAGAACTGAACTAGAACTGAACTAGAACTGAACTAGAACTGAACTAGAACTGAACTAGAACTGAACTAGAACTGAACTAGAACTGAACTAGAACTGAACTAGAAACTGAACTAGAACTGAACTAGAACTGAACTAGAACTGAACTAGAACTGAACTAGAACTGACTAGACTGAACTAGAACTGAACTAGAACTGAACTAGAACTGAACTAGAACTGAACTAGAACTGAACTAGAACTGAACTAGAACTGAACTAGAACTGAACTAGAACTGAACTAGAACTGACTAGAACTGAACTAGAACTGACTAGAACTGAACTAGAACTGAACTAGAACTGAACTAGAACTGAACTAGAACTGAACTAGAACTGAACTAGAACTGAACTAGAACTGAACTAAACTGAACTAGAACTGAACTAGAACTAAAACTGAACTAGAACTGAACTAGAACTGAACTAGAACTGAACTAGAACTGAACTAGAACTGAACTAGAACTGAACTAGAACTGACTAGAACTGAACTAGAACTGAACTAGAACTGAACTAGAACTGAACTAGAACTGAACTAGAACTGAACTAGAACTGAACTAGAACTGAACTAGAACTGAACTAGAACTGAACTAGAACTGAACTAGAACTGAACTAGAACTGAACTAGAACTGAACTAGAACTGAACTAGAACTGAACTAGAACTGAACTAGAACTGAACTAGAACTGAACTAGAACTGAACTAGAACTGAACTAGAACTGAACTAGAACTGAACTAGAACTGAAACTAGAACTGAACTAGAAACTGAACTAGAACTGAACTAGAACTGAACTAGAACTGAACTAGAACTGAACTAGAACTGAACTAGAACTGAACTAGAACTGAACTAGAACTGAACTAGAACTGAACTAGAACTGAACTAGAACTGAACTAGAACTGAACTAGAACTGAACTAGAACTGAACTAGAACTGAACTAGAACTGAACTAGAACTGAACTAGAACTAACTAGAACTGAACTAGAACTGAACTAGAACTGAACTAGAACTGAACTAGAACTGAACTAGAACTGAACTAGAACTGAACTAGAACTGAACTAGAACTGAACTAGAACTGAACTAGAAACTGAACGAGAACTGAACTAGAACTGAACTAGAACTGAACTAGAACTGAACTAGAACTAGAACTGAACTAGAACTGAACTAGAACTGAACTAGAACTGAACTAGAACTGAACTAGAACTGAACTAGAACTGAACTAGAACTGAACTAGAACTGAACTAGAACTGAACTAGAACTGAACTAGAACTGAACTAGAATTGAACCAGAACTGAACTAGAGATGAGTCGCGGGCATGTATTCTGTTCCGTAATTACTTGCCTCGCAACAAAATCAGTAACATAACTGCCCAGTGGTTTAAGCGATGGATAACTCTTCTTCAGCCAGTCGTCGGGAAGTTGCCTATAACCATTGAACGGTGAGTTCTTTCCAATTCTGGAATCATGGCAATTTGTCCCTGGATAGCTTTCTGGACATTGATTAAACTTTTACGGATATAATCCAATAAACGATTAAATCTGAAACGGAAAGAATAATATGAAAACTTTAAAATATTTTTTTTTTTTGGGTTTTTATTCAAATAAATTTATACTAAAGTAAAGTTCTCATCAATTCGGTTTACCTTATTAACTCCTGCCTCAACACCGTATTCATGGAATTAGTATAGACTACAGGGAATTTTTCCGTAACCTCTACCAGATCAAAGGCATTCGGTAGGCGCGCTAATATGTCTTTGCATATCTGAAAAGCTGGATCTATCTTGGCACCATCTGCCCCCGCACCACTTGATTTGACAGACGCCATTAAGTCGGTTTGTGTTTTCAAAACACCTTGTATTAGCTTTGCAAAAAGATAACCAACAGTCAAACATATTTTTAGATTTTACATAAATTTCTAAATTTGTTTTTTCTGTTTGTGTCATGTTGTCACTTGTTAAAATTAACAAAAACCAAAAAAGAATAAATTCTTACACTATTTGTTTCCTTGTTATTACGATTTATATCGGCATTTTCATGTAAACCATAGACTTCAGGATGAGGACTTAAAGGAAATTCTGCTATGTAATCCGAAGCATTGACACGTGTTGGATTCAAAGGTACTCGATATGTGCCAGATTGTGATAAAGCATAACTAAAGTAGAAAGAAGTGGAATATATACATATGAGTGTTATAGGTGAATGTGGATATGTGAAAAAAAGTATAAGAATAATGTAAAATCTTAAAAGAAATGATAAATATAAAATATACTATACGAATGGGTAGAAATATATTTAAATTTATAGAAAAGCCAAAAAACATAAATAGTGAGGAGGAATAGGGTATATTAGTTGTGTTTTGTTGCTATCAATGAGTGTTAACGCTTAAAGTTAGCAACAAAACGAACATTACCTGACTTGGCATCACTCCACAGAAGAAATCTGCTAAATCTTGAAATTATTTACAATTTCTTGAAAAGGTTTTTTTATTTGGTAATTTTCTTTGATTTAAATTTTATTTTAAAATATTTTTTTATTGTTTGACATAAACACATTAATATTTGTATTTTTATTTTTGAATTGGTAGCACTTTTATCAACGTTAAAATTAACTTGTATAATTTTACACGTTAACTCCTAACGTTTATAAATTTTAAATTTATATGAAATTGCCTTTGAACGTTAGCAACAAAACACAACTATTGTAAAGACACAAATACATATGCCCTATTGCGGAAAATAGAGGGTAAATTTAATTTTCAAAATTCTAAAGTTTTTCAATAATATTACAGGAGTCTCATCTATTATTAATGATTATTTGATCAGAATTAGGACTTGTATTTCATTTCAAATTGATTCTAAGTTTAAAATCTAAATGATGGATTTTTTTATTTAAAAGTATTGTCGTCAAGTACTTTTTAAAAAGTATATTAATTTGTGTTGCTGAAACATGAATAGAGCTGATGATGACGAAGGAAAAAACTATTTTCCTTTTTTATTTCACATTTTACATTAAAGGTCATGAAACGTAAAAGAAACAATGATATGACAGTTTTATTTTCTTCTGGCTTCAAGAAAATATATTTGTGTTCATGTATAGATTTTTGTTTATTTTCAATGGTTAAAGAAATAAACATGAAAATCAGGGAAGTAGCCTAAAAGCAAATTCAAATGAAGAATTTCAAGGGCTTCATTCTACAACCAGGTTTTATACTAAAAATAAGTTATATTTCCAGTTCAGTTCTAGTTCACTTATAGTTCAGTTCTAGTTCAGTTCTAGTTCAGTTCTAGTTCAGTTCTAGTTCAGTTCTAGTTCAGTTCTAGTTCAGTTCTAGTTCAGTTCTAGTTCAGTTCTAGTTCAGTTCTAGTTCAGTTCTAGTTCAGTTCTAGTTCAGTTCTAGTTCAGTTCTCTAGTTCAGTTCTAGTTCAGTTCTAGTTCAGTTCTATTAGTTAGTCAGTTCTAGTTCAGTTCTGTCAGTTCTAGTTCAGTTCTAGTTCAGTTCTAGTCAGTTCTAGTTCAGTTCTAGTTCAGTTCTAGTTCAGTTCTAGTTCAGTTCTAGTTCAGTTCTAGTTCAGTTCTAGTTCAGTTCGTCAGTTCTAGTTCAGTTCTAGTTCAAGTTCTAGTTCAGTTCTAGTTCAGTTCTAGTTCAGTTCTAGTTCAGTTCTAGTTCAGTTCTAGTTCAGTTCTAGTTCAAGTTCTAGTTCAGTTCTAGTTCAGTCTAGTTCAGTTCTAGTTCAGTTCTAGTTCAGTTCTAGTTCAGTTCTAGTTCAGTTCTAGTTCAGTTCTAGTTTCAGTTCTAGTTCAGTTCTAGTTCAGTTCTAGTTCAGTTCTAGTTCAGTTCTAGTTCAGTTCTAGTTCAGTTCTAGTTAGTTCTAGTTCAGTTCTAGTTCAGTTCTAGTTTCAGTTCTAGTTCAGTTCTAGTTCAGTTCTAGTTCAGTTTCTAGTTCAGTTCTAGTTCATTCTAGTCAGTTCTAGTTCAGTTCTAGTTCAGTTCTAGTTCATTTCTAGTTCAGTTCTAGTTCAGTTCTAGTTCAGTTCTAGTTCAGTTCTAGTTCAGTTCAGTAGTTCTAGTTCAGTTCTAGTTCAGTTCTAGTTCAGTTCTAGTTCAGTTCTAGTTCGTTCTAGTTCAGTTCTAGTTCAGTTTCTAGTTCAGTTCAGTTCTAGTTCAGTTCTAGTTCAGTTCTAGTTCAGTTCTAGTTCCGTTTAGTGTCAGTTCTAGTTCAGTTCTAGTTCAGTTCTAGTTCAGTTCTAGTTCAGTTCTAGTTCAGTTCTAGTTCAGTTCTAGTTCAGTTCTAGTTCAGTTCTAGTTCAGTTCTAGTTCAGTTCTAGTTCAGTTTCAGTTCTAGTTCAGTTCTAGTTCAGTTCTAGTTCAGTTCTAGTTCAGTTCTAGTTCAGTTCTAGTTCAGTTCTAGTTCAGTTCTAGTTCAGTTCTAGTTCAGTTCTAGTTCAGTTCTAGTTCAGTTCTAGTTCAGTTCTAGTTCAGTTCTAGTTCAGTTCTAGTTCAGTTCTAGTTCAGTTCTAGTTCAGTTCTAGTTCAGTTCTAGTTCAGTTCTAGTTCAGTTCTAGTTCAGTTCTAGTTCAGTTCTAGTTCAGTTCTAGTTTAGTTCTAGTTCAGTTCTAGTTCAGTTCAGTTCTAGTTCAGTTCTAGTTCAGTTCTAGTTCAGTTCTAGTTCAGTTCTAGTTCAGTTCTAGTTCAGTTCTAGTTCAGTTCTAGTTCAGTTCTAGTTCAGTTCTAGTTCAGTTCTAGTTCAGTTCTAGTTCAGTTCTAGTTCAGTTCTAGTTCAGTTCTAGTTCAGTTCTAGTTCAGTTCTAGTTCAGTTCTAGTTCAGTTCTAGTTCAGTTCTAGTTCAGTTCTAGTTCAGTTCTAGTTCAGTTCTAGTTCAGTTCTAGTTCAGTTCTAGTTCAGTTCTAGTTCAGTTCTAGTTCAGTTCTAGTTCAGTTCTAGTTCAGTTCTAGTTCAGTTCTAGTTCAGTTCTAGTTCAGTTCTAGTTCAGTTCTAGTTCAGTTCTAGTTCAGTTCTAGTTCAGTTCTAGTTCAGTTCTAGTTCAGTTCTAGTTCAGTTCTAGTTCAGTTCTAGTTCAGTTCTAGTTCAGTTCTAGTTCAGTTCTAGTTCAGTTCTAGTTCAGTTCTAGTTCAGTTCTAGTTCAGTTCTAGTTCAGTTCTAGTTCAGTTCTAGTTCAGTTCTAGTTCAGTTCTAGTTCAGTTCTAGTTCAGTTCTAGTTCAGTTCGAGTTCAGTTCGAGTTCAGTTCTAGTTTTTATTTCATTACAAAATCCCCCCTTTCTCTGAAATCCACCGCCTCTGGCCCTCTTAACCATGTGCCACCATATTACTACCTCAGTATCTAATAGTTGTTAACATTTCTTGTTAAATTTCCTTTTATGTTTTGTGGCAATTTTTACAACATCTACGAAAAACAACTACAATATAAAACACAAATAGATACTTACTTGTCAACCTCAATAGTACTGGGATTATAGATCATGTTCAATAATGACAAGATTAAACGACGATCCTTGTCATCTGTAACACGACCACCATAGTTACATTCGCCCGTAAGATAGACATGTCCACGAAATGGTATGCTATTACTTTGAGCTATAAACATCTTAAGCTGCAGCAATGAAATTCTGAAATGTTGTAACGAATTGAGAAGATGGAAAATGGAAAAAAAGGTCAAACAAATTAAATGAAATTGAAAATGAAAAGGAGAATAAAAACATCAACCGAAAATGAAATGTAAAATAAATTCCACCACAACAAGAGGAAATAAATACAAAATGAAATATTTATGAAATACAAAAATAAAAAAGGCAAAAACTTTAAAAATATATACATAAGCTATTAAAAATACACATACTCCTACCCACTCCCTCCCATTTAACATACCACATTTAGCAGCATGACAAATATTGTGACACCGCATACATACATACTTAATAGATATGTATGTACGAGTAACCACAACAACATTTAACTTACTTTAAATCCGCTTCACTAAACTCATATGGTATATTCCAACCCAATGGTCCGAATTCGCGACGTTCCTGCACCACTGCATGAAAGAATACCAATGCAAACACACCACGTAACCAACATTTATTGGCCGTCTCCGTATATACAAATGCATTTGTAAAGAATTTATCACGCACTAATGGATCTGAATTAAATGATCTCTGCATGTTAGCCTTTAGACCTTTGGGCGGTTCATTGGTCATTTTAACGGAATTCTGTAGCACTGACACTGGAAACACTGAACTCGGATAGGAAGTACACCAGAGACGATAATCAGCATGTGCGGATTCGGCTAGAGAGGAATCATTGCATATGCGCTCCAGCTCACCCATCCAACTGACAGCTACATGACAATTTTGCAAAACTACCCAATGACCGTAGCGACAGGCCTCGATTATCATTTTCTCAGCACGTGGTCCTTGTCCTTGACCCAAGGAAATGGTTTTGGTTCTGTAAAGAGTGATGTTTTGAAAAAGTTTTTAATAAAATTATTGTTTAAAATTTTTGTTAATAGATGTAATTTTTAATTGACCTTTTGTTGACCTACAAATTATCATTCAAAATCTAATTATATTAAATTTAAACTTGCACTAAAAACCAGCTTTTTTTGCGGATAGCAGCTTTTGTACAAAAATCAAGCTTTCAACCTAAAAACCAGTTTTTTTTTACTAAAAACCTGTTTTTGTACTAAAATCCAGTTTTTGTACAAAAATCATGCTTTCAAACTAAAAACCAGTTTTACACGAAAAACCCGTTTTTACACTAAAAACCAGCTTTTATACTAATAATCTGTTTTTATACTAAAAACCAGTTTTTATACTAAAAACCAGTTTTTATACTAAAAACCCGTTTTTATACTAAAACCAGTTTTTATACTGAAAACCAGTTTTTATACTAAAATCCTGTTTTTATGCTAAATACCAGTTTTTATACTAAAAACTAGTTTTATACTAAATACTATAACTATACTAAAAACCAGTTTTTATAGTAAAAACCAGGTTTTATACTAAAAACTATTTATTATACTAAAAACCAGTTTTTATACTAAAAACCAGTTTTTATACTAAAAACCAGTTTTTATAATAAAAACTAGTTTTATACTAAAAACCAGTTTTTAAACTAAAAACCAGTTTTTATACTAAAAACCAGTTTTATACTAAAATCCTGTTTTTATGCTAAATACCAGTTTTTATACTTAAAATCCGCTTTTTATAATAAAATTCGTTTTGTATACTTAAAACCCAGTTTTTCTACAACAAAAGTTCAATAAGATTTTTTGTCTCGCACATTAAGTGACAAAGTCAAGTATTGTTATTTATTTTATGAAGTCTGCGCGAAGAAAAATATTATTCTATTAAACAAAAGTATTTAGAAAAAAAAAAAACCATTTATTTTTAGCAATATTTATTTAATGAAAACTGTATTTAGATTAGTTTTTCATACGAACCCACGTCCGTCCATCCATCCATCTGCCATGTTCAATAAATACGCCATTTATTATTTAGAAAGTTTACGATGCTTACACATACAAACATTTTCATTAATTTAAATTAATTGTTGACTTTCTAATAATTACAATAAAGATGTAATGCGGTCATGAATAAATATTTATATTAATCCATTTTATTCGAAGACGCTTTTTGTAGCCATTTGCAATTAGAATGTTGTTTTTTTTTTTTTTTTTGTTTGACGTCAAATCTAAATTTTAAGATTAGGGCCAATGCGAAAGCAATTAAGCACACTCACTTCAATGAGTTATTGTAATGGGAAAATATAAAGCAAGAGGCTTTTAGATAAGTATGATTTAAATGGAATTATTAAGAATTTAATTTTGAATTTAAATTATAGTATAAAATGGGGAACAATTTTAAGGTTTGGAAATCAAAAAATTTCTTCAAGTGTATCTTAACAAAAAGTAAAAAATCTGCAATTACTTGAACATGCCAGCCTAATTTAATCAATTGATAAAGGTAACCAACCAAAGGACAACACAGACACATACAGCGAAACCCTTGAAACATGACTTTAAAATGTTAAAGTTTCTTTAAGGGATATGAGAGACTCTCACCTCTCTACATATTCCTTAACTCATATGTATGTTTGGTATTTTTTTTTATAATTTCATTAATTGACTTACTTGTCGTACATATTACGCTGTTTGGCATACATGAAAAGACTGGCCATTGGATCAGAGCCTGGGGACAGCAAGAATACTAAAGGTATTTTTGGCGAACTATCAGCAAATGAAGCATTCAAATCAAAAGGAGGCGGCTCAACAAATGAACGATCCATGTTACGTGTAATGAAATTCTGTAGAAAAAAAGTTGCAAAAACAAAAAGAATACCATGAGAACAGGAACATGAAAATACAATTAAAAAGTATAAAAATAAAAACAAAGAAAAAGAAAAACACAAACAAACATTATAAAGTTTTATAATTAATTACATTATAAAAGAGAAATAAAAGGAAATTTGAGTTTTTTCATTAAAAAAAAATTTTTTTCATTTGCTGAAAATTTTGATTTATTTTAATTACATAAAAGAATTTGCATATGTAACGTATGATTAATATTATTTATCTGTTTCCAGAAATAAAATCAAAAAATAATCATACGTCATGTTGTCTTTCCTGTTAATGTTATTTGATGTACTCAGCAAAATTATTGTAGAAAGTTAATTACATGGAAATGATTATTTAAGATTCACTTTTAAAATTAATTATTTATTTTCTTTTAAACAAACTTCTATTAAGTTAACATCAGACACGTGCTTTAAATTTCAATTCTATGTTATAATAAATATCAAAATTAAGTAAAATCTTTCCTTTTCTTTCCATACTTTATTATTTATACCCAAATAATATCAATAAATAACATATGTAATCAAATAATAAACTGTTTAAAGCAACACAAAATACTCTATTACTATACAAAAAAGAAAAATCAGCAAAAAAAACACCATAATACAAGCAAAGAGTATATGAAAAAAAAAAACTTACTCTAACCGCTGGTACAACTTTATCCGGTCTTAAGCATTTCAATAGTATCAAACCCAACATCTCATCAATATGATCATATGGTGGCGGATATTCAGCTTCTTCCGGTGATGACAAATCACAAAATTTCTTCCATGCCTCAATGTCTTCTTCAAACTTTTTATAAAAGTTTGCTAAACTATTGTATGTTAAGAAAAGAGGCGTATGAAAGAAAACAACATTGTTGGCATTATTTGGCATAAATTCAAAAATATTTCTTTTATTCTATTCATATGTGAGGTTGGTTTAGCTCTTTTTTAAAGAAAAATCCACACATTAATGTGAAAGCTATTTATGAATATATACTACTAAAGAGTTAGTATTATTATTATTATTATCTCCTCAAAGAAGTTTGTCGATAAAAAAGAGGAGAAAATGATTTTCTTTGGCTAATTTTATATAAATATATATGTATGTGGTTATGTATTCTATTTACATAATTTTATGGATTTATTTGCGTGTCATGTACGACCAAGAATTATATATTTTTTTATAATAATTATTTCCGTTTAAGGGTTAAAAGGCTTAGCTTTATTGTAAGCAAATACAAATAAAATAGATATTTTGTATTCAAAAGGTGGGGATAGGTTCATGGAATTTGTTATTCTGTTTGTAACACTTCGAAATATTGGTTGTAGAATAGGTTATAGAACTAACTAACTAACTAACTAACTAACTAACTAACTAACTAACTAACTAACTAACTAACTAACTACTACTAACTAACTAACTAACTAACTACTAACTAACTAACTAACTACTAACTAACTAACTACTAACTAACTAACTAACTAACTAACTAACTAACTAACTAACTAACTAACTAACTAACTAACTACTACTAACTAACTAACTAACTAACTACTAACTAACTAACTAACTACTAACTAACTAACTACTAACTAACTAACTAACTAACTAACTAACTAACTAACTAACTAACTAACTAACTAACTAACTAACTAACTAACTAACTAACTAACTAACTAACTAACTAACTAACTAACTAACTAACTAACTAACTAACTAACTAACTAACTACTAACTAACTAACTAACTAACTAACTAACTAACTAACTAACTAACTAACTAACTAACTAACTAACTAACTAACTAACTAACTAACTAACTAACTAACTAACTAACTAACTAACTAACTACTAACTAACTAACTAACTACTAACTACTAACTAACTAACTAACTAACTAACTAACTAACTAACTAACTACTAACTACTAACTAACTAACTACTAACTAACTAACTAACTAACTAACTAACTAACTAACTAACTACTAACTAACTACTAACTAACTAACTAACTAACTACCTAACTAACTAACTAACTAACTAACTAACTAACTACTAACTAACTAACTAACTAACTAACTAACTAACTAACTAACTAACTAACTAACTAACTAACTAACTAACTAACTAACTAACTAACTAACTAACTAACTAACTAACTAACTAACTAACTAACTAACTAACTACTAACTACTAACTAACTAACTAACTAACTAACTACTAACTAACTAACTAACTACTAACTAACTAACTAACTAACTAACTAACTAACTAACTAACTAACTAACTACTAACTAACTAACTAACTAACTAACTAACTAACTAACTAACTAACTAACTAACTAACTAACTAACTAACTAACTAACTAACTAACTAACTAACTAACTAACTAACTAACTAACTAACTAACTAACTACTAACTAACTAACTACTAACAACTAACTAACTAACTAACTAACTAACTAACTAACTACTAACTAACTAACTAACTAACTAACTAACTAACTAACTACTAACTAACTAACTAACTAACTAACTAACTAACTAACTAACTAACTAACTAACTAACTAACTAACTAACTAACTAACTAACTAACTAACTAACTAACTAACTAACTAACTAACTAACTAACTAACTACTACTAACTAACTAACTAACTAACTAACTAACTAACTAACTAACTAACTAACTAACTAACTAACTAACTAACTAACTAACTACTAAGGAGAGAAATTAAAAATCATTTTTCAAAGGCCTTTAGTTCCCTGGCAGTGATTAAAAATCTTGATCTCAGTATAATTATTTCCAAAAATTATATGCAATCTTTGCGAAATGCGTCTCAAAAAATCTTTAATTTTGAGGTTATCGCGAGAAAAATAATTAAAATTTTTGTTAATTTCTAACAATTTCTTTTTTTGTACAAAATTCTTATATATCAATTAATAAAAAAATGGATTTAAATTTAAGTTAACTTATATATTAACTTGCAAAAGATTTCATTTTATCTCTTAAATCCTTCTGTCTAGAAAATTCAATTTGTTTTATTTTTACATTATTTTCAATTTGTAATACATATAAATATTTTGTAAAGCAAAGTCATTGTTATTTTTGTTTATTTGTTTTGAAGTTTATTGTCATTGTACAAAACATAATTTTAAAGTCAGCACTTTAATTTAAAATCGTAATATCTTTTAAAACCATTTAATTAATTAATTTTTTTTTACCAAGAATAATACTCTTGTGATAAGCATTACAGTCTAGTATGTTCTAGTATTTGTAGAAGAACCCAGTAAATAATTTGATATTTAGTGCCATGTGTTTTTCGTTATTTATTAAAAAAATATTTGTTAGGGTTCTGCAGCAAAAGGCTTTAAGTCAGTTGGTAGAGCAATTTAAGGGTCGCATGTTCGATTCCCACTGGAAATTTCTTTAGAAATAGTTCATCATGTTATATTAAGTAAGGTTATGTACAAATTATAATTCCAAAATATTAACTGGGTAACTTTAATCTTACATTCATGCAGCATGATTCCTTTTTAATGCTTTCAGTCGTAGTATTATTTGCTTCTAAATGTATATAAAAAATGCTGCAAAAAATATTTTCTATGCAATTTTAAAATATGTATTTTCTATTCTATAGAAAAGAAACTTAAACAGACTCACATACAATAGGAAAATACGCTTGATTTTTTTGTTTTGCTTTTTTTTTGTTCGTATTTTCTTCCTTTTTTAGTAGAACCAAAATATAAATACAATGTTGCTTACCCTTCCAAATTGCTGGCCAGCACTATTTGAAACCAAGCCTTTTCAGGAAGCCATACTGGTGCTGGATTAGGTGGAATACTTTGCAATCCAACGCCTCCCGTTAAAAAGAACAACAAATGGGATTTATTTATTTTACCCTTGTTTTATTTTCCATTTTTTATTTTTTTTACCAATTTTTGTAATTAAGCCAAAAAAAGAAAAAAAAAAAAAAAAGCAACCAAGAAAATAAGTTTAAGTCAAGAGTGTTGCACAATCAATGGGAAAGCAGTGGCAATTGCAGCAGCATCCCAAGTTAGATATAGTGGTTTGGGCACGAAGAGTATAAAATAGTATTTGCATTAAGGCATCCAAAAAAAAATATAATAATTTGTTATAAACATGAAAATATAAAGAAAAGGAAATATAATGGAATAAAGTCAAACATAAAATTAATTGAAGTGTAGAAGATGATGAACCCGATATAAAAATGAAAAAAATCGCGTTAATGTAAAGTACATTTTAATAATGCTGATGGTGATGATGAGTAATGAGCATGAATTTATTATAAACTATTTTCAGTAATGTTTACTGGTATAGAACAATTTTTAAAATTTTATGATTGACCTCCTTCACTACTATAGTAGATAAGGTTTTTTTGACTAATGACCCGTCATGATATCTTTACGATGTTCACACTTAGATCTCTATAAAATACATTTTGAATTTAATAACTTAAAAATAACTGTAATGGAACTCTTACCAATTTCAATTACTAGAACTGAACTAGAACTAGAACTGAACTAGAACTAGAACTGAACTAGAACTGAACTAGAACTGAACTAGAACTGAACTAGAACTGAACTAGAACTGAACTAGAACTGAACTAGAACTGAACTAGAACTGAACTAGAACTGAACTAGAACTGAACTAGAACTGAACTAGAACTGAACTAGAACTGAACTAGAACTGAACTAGAACTGAACTAGAACTGAACTAGAACTGAACTAGAACTGAACTAGAACTGAACTAGAACTGACTAGAACTGAACTAGAACTGAACTAGAACTGAACTAGAACTGAACTAGAACTGAACTAGAACTGAACTAGAACTGAACTAGAACTGAACTAGAACTGAACTAGAACTGAACTAGAACTGAACTAAGAACTGAACTAGAACTGAACTAGAACTGAACTAGAACTGAACTAGAACTGAACTAGAACTGAACTAGAACTGAACTAGAACTGAACTAGAACTGAACTAGAACTGAACTAGAACTGAACTAGAACTGAACTAGAACTGAACTAGAACTGAACTAGAACTGAACTAGAACTGAACTAGAACTGAACTAGAACTGAACTAGAACTGAACTAGAACTGAACTAGAACTGACACTAGAACTGAACTAGACGACTAGAACTGAACTAGAACTGAACTAGAACTGAACTAGAACTGAACTAGAACTGAACTAGAACTGAACTAGAACTGAACTAGAACTGAACTAGAACTGAACTAGAACTGAACTAGAACTGAACTAGAACTGAACTAGAACTGAACTAGAACTGAACTAGAACTGAACTAGAACTGAACTAGAACTGAACTAGAACTGAACTAGAACTGAACTAGAACTGAACTAGAACTGAACTAGAACTGAACTAGAACTGAACTAGAACTGAACTAGAACTGAACTAGAACTGAACTAGAACTGAACTAGAACTGAACTAGAACTGAACTAGAACTGAACTAGAACTGAACTAGAACTGAACTAGAACTGAACTAGAACTGAACTAAACTGAACTAGAACTGAACTAGAACTGAACTAGACTGAACTAGAACTGAACTAGAACTGAACTAGAAATCAAATCTAAGAGCTTTATTCATAAACCTTAGATAAATGTTCATTAATAAGGCCCTAAAACTTATTGTAGGTTATTGCAAAGTCGGTTTGACCGTCCATATATCTTAATCATTTTATAAATGACATTTAAAAACCATTCAGCACTTTTTACAAATATCTACTTACAATAACTAAATCATTAACATAATTCTTTTTTTTTCTTAAATCATATTTACCTTTGCCATCATTATACCTAAACACATCACCAACGATATGACCAATTTATCTTTCTCAAACAACGATCTGCAAACGTTCTGATAAATTGATTTCGTAAAATAATTATTTAAATTTTCCAAACGTTCTTGTAATTCAGTTGATTTGGGTGCCTTCATGATGGTATTCACAAAGAGATTCAGAAACCAACCCAATGAGTATTGATACATGGGATCAATATTTGCCAATTCACTGATGCAAAAAAACAATATGGCCGAATGTTTGGCTACAGGTATGTAACGTTGACGCGCTTCATCAATTTCCGCCTCAGTAGCGACTGCAATAATTTGTTTCTCTTGAATTTGTTCGGATAAGATTTTGCTAGATGACAAAATGTTAATGGCATTTTCATCTTCCAATACATTGCCTTCGGACGTTGAGAGTACCTGAATGGTGCAGTAGAAATGAGGAAATAAATGAAAAAATATACATGAAGAAGACAGACAGACAGACAGACATATATTTAAAACAGGATATAAGTATAAATAGGTATTCACATGAGTCTGGGTGTGTGATTTTTTTTCTTACTTGGTTTATAGTTTTGTTGTGTGAGAAAAACAATTTTAAGAAAAATTTATTCAAACAAAATCAAAATGAAAATCATACCATTGAACGGTACGAATACACTGCAAATTATTTAAATAAGGAAAGTTAGTGAAACTATATACATATGTGGTTATTATTTTTACTAAATACGATTATCAGCTTTTTTAAAAACATAAATTTAGACATTTGAATGATTCGCTATACTGCAACTAATTTATTGTTTACAAAGTTTTTGCTTTTCTGTTAAATATTTTTTTTTAGCTGTAACATTTAGCATACTTTAGGGCATTTTAAAATTTATCCTAAATTATTATTAATTCTTACAAAATACTATAAAGATTTTTTCGGTAAAATTTTCTATAAAAAGAAAATTTATGAAAATATTCTATAAAAAGAAAATTTATGGAAAATTTTCTATAAAAAGAAAATTTATGGAAAATTATCTATAAAAAGAAAATGTATGGAAAATTTTCTATAAAAAGAAAATTTATGGAAAATTTTCTATAAAAAGAAAATTTATGGAAATTTTCTATAAAAAGAAAATATATGGAAAATTTTCTTTAAAAAGAAAATTTATGGAAAATTTTCTATAAAAAGAAAATTTCTGAAAAATCTTCTATAAAAAGAAAATTTCTGGAAAATTTTCTATGAAAAGAAAATTTCTTGAAAATTCTCTATAATAAGAAAATTTCTTGAAAATTTTCTATGAAAAGAAAATTTCTTGAAAATTTTCTATAAAAAGAAAATTTCTTGAAAATTTTCTATAAAAAGAAAATTTCTTGAAAATTTTTTATAAAAAGAAAATTTCTTGAAAATTTTCTATAAAAAGAAAATTTATGGAAAAATTTTTATAAAAAGAAAATTTCTCGGAAATTTTCTATAAAAAGAAAATTTCTTGGAAATTTTCTATAAAAAAAATTTCTCGGAAATTTTCTATAAAAAGAAAATGTAAAGAAAATTTTCTATAAAAAGAAAATGTAAAGAAAATTTTCTATAAAAAGAAAATGTAAAGAAAATTTTCTATAAAAAGAAAATGTAAAGAAAATTTTCTATAAAAAGAAAATGTAAAGAAAATTTTCTATAAAAAGAAAATGTAAAGAAAATTTTCTATAAAAAGAAAATGTAAAGAAAATTTTCTACAAAATGAAAATTTATGGAAAATTTTCTATAAAACGAAAATTTATGGAAAATTTTCTATAAAAAGAAAATTTATGGAAAGTTTTCTATAAAAAGAAAATTTATGGAAAATTTTCTATAAAAAGAAAATTTATCGGAAATTTTCTATAATAAGAAAATTTATCGGAAATTTTCTATAAAAAGAAAATTTATGGAAAATTTTTTTATAAAAAGAAAATTTATGAAAAATTTTCATAAAAAGGAAATTTATGGAAAATTTTCTATAAAAAGAAAATTTATGGAAAATTTTCTATAAAAAGAAAATTTATGGAAAATTTTCTATAAAAAGAAAATTTCTGAAAAATCTTCTATAAAAAGAAAATTTCTGGAAAATTTTCTATGAAAAGAAAATTTCTTGAAAATTCTCTATAATAAGAAAATTTCTTGAAAATTTTCTATGAAAAGAAAATTTCTTGAAAATTTTCTATAAAAAGAAAATTTCTTGAAAATTTTCTATAAAAAGAAAATTTCTTGAAAATTTTTTATAAAAAGAAAATTTCTTGAAAATTTTCTATAAAAAGAAAATTTCTTGAAAATTTTCTATAAAAAGAAAATTTCTTGAAAATTTTCTATAAAAAGAAAATTTATGGAAAATTTTCTATAAAAAGAAAATTTATGGAAAATTTTCTATAAAAAGAAAATTTCTGGAAAATTTTCTATAAAAAGAAAATTTCTGGAAAATTTTCTATGAAAAGAAAATTTCTTGAAAATATTCTATAAAAAGAAAATTTCTTGAAAATTTTCTATAAAAAGAAAATTTATGGAAAATTTTCTATAAAAAGAAAATTTATGGAAAATTTTTTATAAAAAGAAAATTAATGAAAAATTTTCTATAAAAAGAAAATTTCTGGAAAATTTTCTATAAAAAGAAAATTTCTGGAAAATTTTCTATAAAAAGAAAATTTCTGGAAAATTTTCTATGAAAAGAAAATTTCTTGAAAATTTTCTATAAAAAGAAAATTTCTTGAAAATTTTCTATAAAAAGAAAATTTCTTGAAAATTTTCTATAAAAAGAAAATTTCTTGAAAATTTTCTATAAAATGAAAATTTATGGAAAATTTTCTATAAAAAGAAAATTTCTTGAAAATTTTCTATAAAAAGAAAATTTCTTGAAAATTTTCTATAAAAAGAAAATTTCTTGAAAATTTTCTATAAAAAGAAAATTTCTTGAAAATTTTCTATAAAAAGAAAATTTCTTGAAAATTTTCTATAAAAAGAAAATTTCTTGAAAATTTTCTATAAAAAGAAAATTTCTTGAAAATTTTCTATAAAAAGAAAATTTCTTGAAAATTTTCTATAAAAAGAAAATTTATGGAAAATTTTCTATAAAAATAAAATTTCTTGAAAATTTTCTATAAAAATAAAATTTCTTGAAAATTTTCTATAAAATGAAAATTTATGGAAAATTTTCTATAAAAAGAAAATTTATGGAAAATTTTCTATAAAAATAAAATTTATGGAAAATTTTCTATAAAAATAAAATTTATGGAAAATTTTCTATAAAAATAAAATTTCTTGAAAATTTTCTATAAAATGAACATTTTCTATAAAATGAAAATTTATGGAAAATTTTTTATAAAAAGAGAATTTATGGAAAATTTCCTATAATAAGAAAATTTATGAAAATATTACTATAAGAAGAAAAATAATGGAAAATTTCCTATGAAAAGAAAATTTATGGAAAATTTTCCATGAAAGGAAAATTTATGGAAAATTTCCTATGAAAAGAAAATTTATGAAAAATTTCCTATGAAAAGAAAATTTATGGAAAATTTCCTATAAAAGGAAATTTATGGAAAATTTTCTATAAAAAGAAAATTTTTGGAATATTTTTTATAAAAAGAAAATTTATGAAAAATTTTCTATAAAAAGAAAATTTATGGAAAATTTTCTATAAAAAGAATATTTATGGAAAATATATATATGAAAAATTTCCTATAATAAGAAACTTTATGAAAATATTACTATAAAAAGAAAAATAATGGAAAATTTCCTATGAAAAGAAAATTTATGGAAAATTTCCTATGAAAAGAAAATTTATGGAAAATTTTCTATGAAAAGAAATTTTATGGAAAATTTCCTATGAAAAGAAAATTTATGGAAAATTTCCTATGAAAAGAAAATTTATGGAAAATTTCCTATAAAAAGAAATTTATGGAAAATTTTCTATAAAAAGAAAATTTTTTGAAAATTTACTATAAAAAGAACATTTATGAAAAATTTTCTATAAAAAGAAAATGCATGGAAAATTTTCTATAAAAAGAAAATTTTTTTTAAAGAGAAAATTTATGGAAAATTTTTTATAAAAAGCAAATGCATGGAAAATTTTCTATAAAAAGAAAATTTCTGGAAAAGTTTCTATAAAAAGAACATTTATCAAGTTTCCTAAAGTGTTGCACGTGTGTTAAGTTTTTGTGTTTGACAGAAATGTTTTAATATTCATTCAAAACTTCAAGAAAAATATAAAAATATTAAAAATCTTTGGAAACAGTTAAAACTGAATAAAAATAGTAGAAAAAGAAAACAGAAGTAAAAACATCAAAAGCAAACTTTATTAAGTTTCGCATGCAGTTACAAGTTAAACTAGTCTTGCAATATAAAGATGCATATATTTTGTGATACAGATGTAAAATATAATTATGCATTTCCAAAATAAAATTAATATGAAGGGACATTGGTTTGTCGTTCAAATGAATTAGTAATTTTGTATATTTCTTATATTTGCTTTTTTTATCAGATAGTATATGTGGAAATATTTTGCAATATTGATGTTTGAAAACCTTTGGCAATAAATATAGTTTTATTATGGAAATATTAAATTTTTTTAATATCAAAATTTAAGTTAAAATTAAATTCAATTAAATGCAGCGTTATTTGTAATAAAGAGAAAATAAATTTATTTATTTATAGGTAAAATTGCAAAAAAATGACTGCAGAAAACCAAAAAATAAAATGAAAATTAAAAACCCTATCAATACAATTTCCAGTTAATTGAATTGTCAAGAACACATGAAAATAATAAAAATTAATAAGTTTTTATATCCCCAAGCAAAACAGATAGAAACATAACATAACATATATATTCAAAATGTTTAAAGTTTCCGTTTATTTTTTTTCCCTTTTTCTCTTGCAAAGTATGTGTTTTTGAGGCGATATTAGTTTGCTGTATAGTTTTTACAGATAATAAAAAAAGATATGAGCGAATGTTTTATAAATTGAAATTTAATCGAAAAGTTTTTCATCAAAAGTGTCTTTTTTAGGGATATTAGTATATTTGGCATAATTATGAGCTCCAAATCCCAATTTAGGGGGTCCTGTTATATGGGGGCTAGGTGAAAAAATGCACCGCTATCAACCAAAATCTCTAGCGTTCGTCCTTGGGTCGTCCAACTATCTTCAAAATTGCGACCTGTAGTTTGATTACAAGGTTTACATGGACAGTCAGACAGATGGACAGACAGTCAGACAGATAGACAGACAGACAGACAGACAGACGGATTGTGAGCCAATTGGAAAAGTGACAATATTGGTCGTACAAAATTTGAGAATTCCAGCTCTAATAGTTTCTTAGATATACGTATTTTTGTATTTAATTTATGTGGGAGGTGCCACGCCCCCTATTGCTAGTTCTCCCATTTTTGTCTTAAATGCTCGTATTGTGATGCTGAAGTGACTCCAACAATATTGAAGCACTCTATCTGTTATATTTTCCCAGATAAACTAAATTATTATTTTCTTGATATGGGAGGTACCACGCCCACTATAGCTAGTCCGCCCATTTTGTCAGCAAATTTAAAATACAAAGTTTGAAGACTATAGCGGTTGCAGTTTCTAAGATATGCGGATAATTACATATGTATATTGTGGTAATTAGAAATGGAATGACGATTTCGTTAAACAATTTTTCAAGATTTTTTACTTTAAATTTTGTTTTTCGAAAAATTGGTAATTGTTACAAATTGAATAACGAACTAAGTCTATAGTTTATTTTCCGTTCAAAAAAAATCTAGGTGTGCAAAAAACCAAATACTAAAACATGCGAAAAACTTCTATACATAATGAATATAAAACTCAAAAATCATTAACGAGGGTGAAGTGATAATTATACAAAGGTTATATAATAACAAACAGATTTACAAGATAACATTAGTTAAAACTTATTAAAACTGAAACTGATGAAGTATTCTAAATTTAATAAAATGTCAGTTTACAAGTCATGTATTATTTAATTACTTTCCTGTAATGTAGGCGGTAAGCTATTGTATATCAGCACAACTGAGAGGGGTCGTTTTAATAACTTATCATACTTATTATACACACATGTACTACTTATGTATATAATAACAACACTTTTACACAAAAGTACAATAGAGAAAACAATAATTGAATTTGAAATGAACTTATAAAATACAAAAAAAATCCAATGAAACGCAAAAAAAAATACAAGTAAAAAAGTATAGTCGTCGTGGCCGACCATAGCCATACCCTACACCGGTTATGAGTTTATCAAAAATGTTTATTATTTTAGTAATAAAGCATTTATGTTGAATTTTTCCTTAATTTCGATATATTTTTGATGATTAAATAATTTTTTTATGGAGGCTATATATGGGGGCTAGGGTCAATTATGAACCGCTCCTAACAAAATTTGATGGAGGGATTTTCGTTGACATTGAAGTTAATTATACCGAATTTCATTGAAATATGCGTGTTTATAAGGGAATTAATGACGTTAAAGCATTTTCAGAGGTTGACATGGATAGACAGACGGACAGACAGACAGACAGACAGACAGACAGACAGAAAGAAAGAAAGAAAGAAAGAAAGAAAGAAAGAAAGAAAGAAAGACAGACAGACGGACAGACGGACAGACAGACAAACAGATAGATAGACAGACAGACGGACAGACGGACAGACGGACGAACATGGCTTAATCGACTCAGAAAATGATTCTATGCGTTACAAACATCAGCACAAATCCAACATAACATTCCCACTAAAGTGGTGTATGGTATAAAAACAATTGTAAAAGCTTAAATAATAAAAATAGAATCAAATTCAATATACTTACTACTTACTAAACACATACATACATAGATACATGTGTTTATATACATACATATCATGTGTTAGTGTAATAAAACGTGCTTACCTCCAATATTTTTGATTCAATTGTATACAAAGCATCGCGATTTTTTGCCGATTCAATAATCAATTGTTCCTTTTTCTCCTGTAGATCGGGACGTTCATGAGCCACAACAGTAGCCAACAGTTGTTCACGTAAACCTTGTTCCGTAATCATAAAATTTATTACGGTTACCTGTTCAGAGGAAACACCATACATACATTCAATAACGTTTTAAAGGGGTAAAGAGGAAGGAAATATATATTTAAAATATTTTGAAAATAGACAAAGATTGTAAAATAGAGATATAAAATCGGTTTATGTAGGGGTATGTACATAAATAACATAACAAAAAAAATAAATTTGTTTATATAGTAATATGAGTTAGTTGGTGTGTTTGAATTGTGTTTTTTTTGGTTAAAGAAGGAGGGAGGTAAGGGTGTTGGTGTAAAATATTTAACAAAACAAAGTTGCTATTCAGTTTTGTTTCAACATTTACGTTTACGTATATAAACTAGAAAACCAAAAGAAATGCTAACATCAACACAACATTTAGAAAAAATAAATGAAATAATTTTTTGTTTCTGAGAAAAAGAAAAACGAAACTTATTACAATTTGATATGAAATGTGGTCACATAAAATAAAGTTCAAAATGGTTGAAAAGGGTAGAGAAAAATGTGGGATTAATACTTTTGAATGATTTTGATAAATTTATTTTTAGACATTAATTCTTGAGAAGTTAAAAATAAATAAAACAATTATATATAAATAACTTTGGATGTAAAAAAACAACAGTTTGACCTTTATTACATCCTTTAAGTGTAAACCCTTTTTAGTTATTTCTAAATAAATATAAATATTCTCTTACACTTGCTAAAAACTTTTAACTTATCGGTCCGTTTGTTGCGATAAGAAAATAAATTGTTAAAAAATAAAATGCTAACAAAAATGGATAAATCTTTCAAATTTTTTTTTTCAGAAAAATGTCTTAAAACTTAGTAAAATTCGAAGATTTTTTATAAAAAAGATGTTTGAATAATTTCTAAAAAAAAATAGAATTTCCAAAATTTTCTACAAAAAAATTAAAACGTTTTCTAAAAAATTAAAAAATATTGAAAATTTTCTATAAAATGAAAAATTTTGAAAATGTTCTTTAACAGATTAACATCCAAAAATTTTTTATAAAGAAGAGAAATTTTAAAAATTCTCTTAGAAAATTGAAAGAAAAAATTTTCGAAAGTTTTTTTTATAGAAAAGAGAATAGAAGTTTCTATGGAAAAGGGAAATTTTCCAAAATTTTCTATAGAAAATAGAATTTTCAAACATTTTCTATAGAAAACAGAAATTTCCGAAAATTTGTTATAAAAAATATAAATTTTCGAAACTTTTATATATCCAAAATTTTCCTTAAAAAAGAGAAATTTTTGAAAAATTTTTTAAGAAAGAAAAATTTTCGAAAATATATTTAAAGAGAAATTTTCGAAAATTTTATATAAAAAAGAGAAAATTTATATAAAAAAGAGAAATTCTCTATAAAAGGGAGAAAACACAGAAATTTTTGAAAATGTTCTTTAAAACAGAGAAATTTTCGAAAATTTTCTATAAAATATAAATTTTAGAAATTTTTCTATAAAATAGAAATTTTCTATAAAATAGAAATTTTCGAAAATTTTCTATAAAACAGAGAAATTTTAGAAAATTTTATATAAAAAAGAGAAATTCTTGATAAAAGAGGAAAATTTTCGAAAATTCTCTATAAAAGAGAGAAATTTTCTAAAATTCTCTATAAAAAAGAGAAATTTTCGAAACATTTCTATAAAATATAAATTTTCGAAAATTTTCTATAAAAAGAGAAATTTTCGAAAACTTTATATAAAAGAAAATTCTCTATAAAAGAGGAAAATTTTCGAAAATTCTCTATAAAAGAGGAAAATTTTCTATAAAAAGAGAAATTTTCGAAAAAATTCTATAAAAAGAGAAATTTTCGAAAAATTTCTATAAAAAAGAACTTTTCGAATAATTTTCTATAGAAAATAGAAATTTTCGAATAATTTTCTATAGAAAATAGAAATTTTCGAATAATTTTCTATAGAAAATAGAAATTTTCGAATAATTTTCTATAGAAAATAGAAATTTTCGGATAATTTTCTATAGAAAATAGAAATTTTCGGATAATTTTCTATAAAAAATAGCAATTTTCGGATAATTTTCTATAGAAAATAGCAATTTTCGAATAATTTTCTATACAAAATAGCAATTTTCGAATAATTTTCTATACAAAATAGAAATTTTCGAATAATTTTCTATACAAAATAGAAATTTTCGAATAATTTTCTATACAAAATAGAAATTTTCGAATAATTTTCTATAGAAAATATAAATTATAAATAATTTTCTATGGAAATTAGAAATTTTTGAATAATTTTCTATAGCAAATAGAAATTTTCGAAAATTTTCTATAAAAAAGAGAAAATTTTCTAAAAAAAAGAGTAATTTTTGATAATTTTCTATAAAAAAGAGAACTTTTTGAAAAATATTCTGGAAAATTTTTTGAAAATTTTCTATAAAAATTTAAAATAATGAAATATTTTAAAAGACTAAATTTTCGAAAATTTTCTATGTAAAAAAGGGAAATTTTTAAATATTTTCAATTAAAAAAGAAATTATCGAATATTTTCTATAAAAAAAGAATTTTTCTTAAAAAGAGAATTTTTTCCTAAAAATAGTAACATTTTCGAAAATTTTCTATAAAAAGGAAACTTTTTACAAAATTTTTGAATATTTTCTAAAAAACATTTTCGAATTTATCTCGAAATCAAAATGTAAAAATTTCTAAAATATTCTATAAGAAAGAAATTTTGAAAATTTAATTGGAGTAGATTTATCAAGTCTTATAGAGTGTATCTACTATCGTATACTGTCTGCTGAAGTATTTTTTCAAATTGTTTTTCTTTATTCCTCTAGTTCTCAACAATACGTATATGAATAACTAAAGAATAATGGTTATGTTTTTATTTTTCTCGAATTTTTTTCTTTGGTTCTAAAACAAAAAATTTGCATATTTGCAAAAACACACCGATTCAACGAAAACAATCTGACATACAGAGAAATGTTAAATAAAATAAGATGAGGCAAAAAAGCAGTGTGAGAAAGAACAAAAAAAGAAATCTCTACTTTCTTTCATCATCTGCTACAAAATGTATGTAAATGTAAAGGTTTTTTTTAGTATCCCATTCTAAGCATTTTTTGTTGTTTTTTAGTATTCACTTTGCCAACCGTGCAAACTGTTTTATACGTTTTATTACAATCATTGAATTGATATCATTTCATTTGAAATTCATTTGATGGTTACATTCATTTCGACTTTACCACCAGCAACACTAAAAAATACAAAAACCAACAACAACAAGAAGAAAAACATCGTCATCATCATCACCACCCACGTCATCGCTATTGTTTTTTTTAACCCCAACTCCCACTCAACACCCCATTTATTTCATTTCTCTGGCAGTTTTTTATTCGCTGGTTTTTAGTTTCAGTTCGTTTTTATGCAGATATCTCGTGGTTTGTAGCAGGAAGAAAAAATCAAGTTTATTTGGTGTCTATTTTTATGTTAGAGCTTAAGTTTAGGTGTATATGTATGTGTGTGTTTGTTAAATATGTTAATATATTGGTTTTGATATTCCTTGTTAGCATTATCATCGTCATCACTTACCATAACCATAATTTCTGGCGGATAATGAGGATTCCTTAGACAGGTTGTTATGTATAAGCGAAAATTACTATTATATTCAATCATTTGATCTCCGCTCTTGATAAAGTAGCCACCTTTATGCTTAATTACATTCTTTTCTAAAATTGGCGTTAAATTTGAATCCAAACGTTCACCTGTTATTGGGAGTTTAGCAGATGTGAAGGGGAAAAAAATTGGCATTAGGTATTGAAATATGATAATACAATTAGTATGATGAAATTATAAAGAAATTATGATAAATATAAATTGCTTAAATTTTACGAAACGAATTTCTTTTGATTACACAATGGAGGAAATAATTCCTTTGGGAAAATTAATTTTGTTATATTTCTTAGTAGATAAGGAAATTTGCTTAGAAACAATAGATATTCAAAGAGAAAATTTAAATTAGGTTTGAGGCAATAAACTACCTAACTATTCTAAATAGTTTTTACTCTGACTGTGTTCACATTGCAGTTAAAGTTAAAAAGATTTTAAGAAAAGACAGCTGAGACAAGTCGTCATATGCAAAAAATGCGAACAATGCTGAACATATTACACAATGTTCTGCAAATGTTTTACAAAAGAATCAACAGAAGAGAAATTGACAAAATATAAAATCAACAGTCTTCGTCAATCTCAATTTCAGATTGACTTGAACTTATTTGACTTGGGCTCGAAACATGGAACCTCTCTTATCTAGTACCACGGAGCAGAGTCTCCGACTTTGTCTTGTGCCAGGCATGGAAAATTTCAAAACTTATAACAAAGTTGGTACTTTTTAGGATTTAAAGAACTAAACTATTGACTATAGACTAGACCATAGACTAGTCCATATACTAGACTATAGACTAGACTATAGACTAGATTATAGAGTAGACTATAGACTAGACTACAGACTAGACTACAGACTAAACTATAGACTAGAGTATAGACTAGACTATAGACTAGACTATAGACTAGACTATAGACTAGACTATAGACTAGACTATAGACTAGACTATAGACTAGACTATAGACTAGACTATAGACTAGACTATAGACTAGACTATAACTAGACTAGACTAGACTACAGACTAGACTATAGACTAGACTATAGACTAGACTATAGACTAGACTATAGACTAGACTATAGACTAGACTATAGACTAGACTATAGACTAGACTATAGACTAGACTATAGACTAGACTATAGACTAGACTATAGACTAGACTTAGACTAGACTATAGACTAGACTATAGACTAGACTATAGACTAGACTATAGACTAGACTATAGACTAGACTATAGACTAGACTATAGACTAGACTATAGACTAGACTAGACTAGACTAGACTATAGACTAGACTATAGACTAGACTATAGACTAGACTATAGACTAGACTATAGACTAGACTATAGACTAGACTATAGACTAGACTATAGACTAGACTATAGACTAGACTATAGACTAGACTATAGACTAGACTATAGACTAGACTATAGACTAGACTATAGACTAGACTATAGACTAGACTATAGACTAGACTATAGACTAGACTATGACTAGACTATACTAGACTATAGACTAGACTATAGACTAGACTATAGACTAGACTATAGACTAGACTATAGACTAGACTATAGACTAGACTATAGACTACTAGACTAGACTATAGACTAGACTATAGACTAGACTATAGACTAGACTATAGACTAGACTATAGACTAGACTATAGACTAGACTATAGACTAGACTATAGACTAGACTATAGACTAGACTATAGACTAGACTATAGACTAGACTATAGACTAGACTATAGACTAGACTATAGACTAGACTATAGACTAGACTATAGACTAGACTATAGACTAGACTATAGACTAGACTATAGACTAGACTATAGACTAGACTATAGACTAGACTATAGACTAGACTATAGGACTAGACTATAGACTAGACTATAGACTAGACTATAGACTAGACTATAGACTAGACTATAGACTAGACTATAGACTAGACTATAGACTAGACTATAGACTAGACTATAGACTAGACTATAGACTAGACTATAGACTAGACTATAGACTAGACTATAGACTAGACTATAGACTAGACTATAGACTAGACTATAGACTAGACTATAGACTAGACTATAGACTAGACTATAGACTAGACTAGACTAGACTATAGACTAGACTATAGACTAGACTATAGACTAGACTATAGACTAGACTATAGACTAGACTATAGACTAGACTATAGACTAGACTATAGACTAGACTATAGAATAGACTATAGACTAGACTATAGACTAGACTATAGACTAGACTATAGACTAGACTATAGACTAGACTATCGACTAGGAACTATAGACTAGGACTATAGACTAGGACTATAGACTAGACTATAGACTAGACTATAGACTAGACTATAGACTAGACTATAGACTAGACTATAGACTAGACTATCGACTAGACTATAGACTAGACTATAGACTAGACTATAGACTAGGACTATAGACTAGACTATAGACTAGACTATAGACTAGACTATAGACTAGACTATAGACTAGACTATAGACTAGACTATAGATAGACTATAGGACTAGACTATAGACTAGACTATAGACTAGACTATAGACTAGACTATAGACTAGACTATAGACTAGGACTATAGACTAGACTATAGACTAGACTATCGACTAGGACTATAGACTAGACTTACACTAGACTATAGACTAGACTGTAGACTAGACTAGACTAGACTATAGACTAGACTAGACTACTATACACTAGACTATAGACTAGACTAAAGACTAGACTATAGACTAGACTATACACTAGACTATACACTAGACTATACACTAGACTATCGACTAGACTATACACTAGACTATACACTAGACTATACACTAGACTATAGACTAGACTATAGACTGGACTATAGACTAGACTATAGACTAGACTATACACTAGACTATAGACTGGACTATAGACTAGACTATAGACTAGACTATAGACTAGACTATAGACTAGACTAGACTATAGACTAGACTATAGACTAGACTATAGACTAGACTATAGACTCGACTATAGGCTAGACTATGGACTAGACTATAGACTAGACTTTAGACTAGACTATAGCCTAGTTTATAGACTAGACTATAGACTAGACTATGGACTGGACTATAGAGTATACTATAGACTAGCTATAGACTAGACTATAGACTAGACTATAGACTAGACTATAGACTAGACTATAGACTAGACTATAGACTAGACTATAGACTAGACTATAGACTAGACTATAGACTAGACTATAGACTAGACTATAGACTAGACTATAGACTAGACTATAGACTAGACTAGACTAGACTAGACTAGACTATAGACTAGACTATAGACTAGACTATAGACTAGACTATAGACTAGACTATAGACTAGACTATAGACTAGACTATAGGCTAGACTATAGACTAGACTATAGGCTAGACTATAGACTAGACTATAGACTAGACTATAGACTAGACTATAGACTAGACTATAGACTAGACTATAGACTAGACTATAGACTAGACTATAGACTAGACTATAGACTAGACTATACACTAGACTATAGACTAGACTATAGACTAGACTGTAGACTGGACTATAGACTAGACTATACACTAGACTATAGACTGGACTATGTACTGTGGACTAGACTAGATTGTGATGGAGTCTGCGATTATGGACTATCCTTAAATTGAGATGTAAGTTGCTAAAGGAATTTAATCGAGTGTATAATTATTATTGTTCCATAAAGCTTATATTTCTATATTACCACCTCCACAAACTACTAATTCCATCTTAAGTTGAACTAGTTTTGAACTCAACACAAACATCATAACATTGTTACAGCACTTAACAAGAATTTTACAAAACTTAGGAAACCTACAACACTTAAGAGTTTCTTCAACTTTAACAAACAATTAAAATAATAAATTTTATGACTTTTAGATTACAAGACAAACAAATCAAAACATTTTCAAGCACACTTAATGATTCCTAATTCAAATTCAGCTTTAATAACAACAGACAACATTAACACATGATATCTGCTAATTACTTACAAAAGTGACAAACGAAAACGAAAAACTGGGAATGGAGAAGTTAAAAGGAAATTAGAAAATTCAAATCATATAAAGTTTCAAAAGAAAATGCTGCCTAATGTCGGGCTAATAAGCATTTTATCATTAAATTTTATCTTTCATCTAAAAAAAGAAAAAAGTCAGTATCATTTCAAGTTACTTACATACTCGTATCATTTATGGTTCATTTCATTATGTCATTAATCTTTGAAAGTTAGTAAATGTAAATGGCTGAAATCATTCATTAAACCATGAAAAAGGAATATCAACTAAGAATAGCAACAAAAACATCTTTTATAGAAAAAAGATAGAAAAACACAACATTGAAAATAAAAATCATTGGAAACGAAATATTAAATCAGCTAGACAATAAATGGTCATAGAAGAAAAACTCTTAAGACAGACGTATGGCTAAACGTCAAACATACCAGATACAAACATACATACATACATCCACAGCAATGAATGGTCCATGCCAATACCAATAGGCGAATGACTGACTGAACGTGCCATGGACAGTTAAAATTTTTCAAGTACCATCATAGACAAAATAAATCCAAAACACTTGAACTCATCATTAAACGCAAAAGAAGGCGAATACATAAACGTTGAATGAATAAAAAACCAAAACAAAACAACATTTTAATAAAAACGAAAAAACGTAAAATTATATAAAAATAAACATAATCACGCTCATCATCCATTCATCTTCACAATTTAGTAACGATACTTGTAACGAAACATTTCAAAAGTATTGAAATCTTCCAAACCAACAAGTATTAACCCGCTTTTCGCCATGGTTTTACATTACTTTTAGAATTTTATCTGGTCTAATGGATTTTAATCCCACTTTGCAAAAGATAAGATGTAGGTGGAGATTTAAGTGAAAATATATTTTTAAGATAATTGAAGGAATAATGACTATTTGCCAATAATGATAATGCTATGAACTAAATTCGAGAGATAATAACTCATGGGTATTTGGCTTGTTATGAAGGAATTAGGGAGACGTGGTTATGGTTAGAGTAATTCTTTATTGTATGTATTTGATCTATTCCCGGTTGTCAGGTACATTAGTATTACACTGCTAATCCTAATTTAAACGAAAAAGAACAGAGTCAACGTATTGGCCTTCTACAAACCAGTTGATGTGTTTCACATTGAGAAAATTTTTCTATAAAGAATATATCTCCAAATGACACAGACTAATCTAGACTATAGAGTAAAGACTAGACAATTGACAAGACTATAGCATAGACCACAGACTAGACTATAAACTAGACTAGACTATAGACTAGACTATAGACTAGACTATAGACTAGACTATAGACTAGACTATAGACTAGACTATAGACTAGACTAGAGACTAGACTATAGACTAGACTATAGACTAGACTATAGACTAGACTATAGACTAGACTATAGACTAGACTATAGACTAGACTATAGACTAGACTATAGACTAGACTATAGACTAGACTATAGACTAGACTATAGACTAGACTATAGACTAGACTATAGACTAGACTATAGACTAGACTATAGACTAGACTATAGACTAGACTATAGACTAGACTATAGACTAGACTATAGACTAGACTATAGACTAGACTATAGACTAGACTATAGACTAGACTATAGACTACTATAGAATAGACTTAGACTATAGACTAGACTATAGACTAGACTATAGACTAGACTATAGACTAGACTATAGACTAGACTATAGACTAGACTATAGACTAGACTATAGACTAGACTATAGACTAGACTATAGACTAGACTATAGACTAGACTATAGACTAGACTATAGACTAGACTATAGACTAGACTATAGACTAGACTATAGACCTAGACTATAGACTAGACTATAGACTAGACTATAGACTAGACTATAGACTAGACTATAGACTAGACTATAGACTAGACTATAGACTAGACTATAGACTAGACTATAGACTAGACTATAGACTAGACTATAGACTAGACTATAGACTAGACTATAGACTAGACTATAGACTAGACTATAGACTAGACTATAGACTAGACTATAGACTAGACTATAGACTAGACTATAGACTAGACTATAGACTAGGACTAGACTATAGACTAGACTATAGACTAGACTATAGACTAGACTATAGACTAGACTATAGACTAGACTATAGACTAGACTATAGACTAGACTATAGACTAGACTAGACTAGACTATAGATAGCTATAGACTAGACTATAGACTAGACTATAGACTAGACTATAGACTAGACTATAGACTAGACTATAGACTAGACTATAGACTAGACTATAGACTAGACTATAGACTAGACTATAGACTAGACTATAGACTAGACTATAGACTAGACTATAGACTAGACTATATACTAGACGGATTAAACACTGTGGTCATCATAATACTCAAAAATTTGGCATTCCAACGGTTAATACTTATTTCTCAGAGATATTAAAATAAAAAGAATGAAACACTATAATGGTCCTCAAGAAATATTTTTTTTTTATTTCACTGGGAGGAAACAAAAAGTACACAAAACAAACATTACTTTTAATGGGAATTAGCTGTTAGGAAACAACAACAAAAAATACAAAAAATATTTTCAACAATAATATTAATAAGAATAAGAATAATCATAATAACACTTGTCTACGCAATAAGGAAGAAAACAAAATATTTTTCGTCTTTTCTATTTCTAGCCAAATTATTTTTGGAGGGCATAAACAAATATTACCACCCATTTAACATTTAAGAGTGATAAACAAAAATACTTATCATTAAATATTTAAGCAAATAAAGAGATGGTGAAATGTTACCCAGACATAACTTACATTTTTGTTTAAGCAACTGATTTTGAATTTAGAGGACAACACTGCAACATGCAGTGGACTGTGGTTATTATTTTAAATTGGGAAACATGTTACATATGCAGTTTTAAATTTTCATCATTGACATGTAGCTTTGTCTGTGTGTTTTCTTTATACACACAAAAATAACTTAAATTAAGCAATTTATATTGATTTTGTTATTTTTATCTATTTGTTTTTACACAAAGATAAAATAAATACTTATAAAAATGTTTAAATATGTACATATGTATGTTTTAGCATTATACTTTATGAAAGTACTTACCAACATTTTCAATCAATACTGGATTACCATACGTAATTGCCAATTCAAGTATTTGCATATAATTGGCATCACTTTGTTTGATAACTTTAAGGTCATTTTTCTTTTCCATATTTTTAATCCACTTGTTGGCTTGGACTTGTATTTTGATTATTTATTAAATTAAAGAAATAAATAATTTATTATTTATTATTATGTTGTTTTTCAACAATTACTATTTACTGTTAAACTTTTGAGTTTTACTTACCTTGTGGATCTATTAATAGGGAGTAGCGATTGGAATTAGCCACTATAATGGCATTTTCTACAGAAAAATTATCTGCTGGTAAACCGGCTAAAGACCAGGCACGTATTTGCATAGGATTGCCCAAAGTATTGGCTAATGAGAATTTCTCGGAACAGGGTATTTTACGTTGTCTGCATACTTCATTCCATTCCTCTAGAATATTAACACGATACTGTGAAGAAAAATTGGTAGTATAGTATTACTTGAAAGATGTCTCAATGAGACACATTTTCTATACAGAAAAGATGTCTCAATGAGACACATTTTCTATACAGAAAAGATGTCTCAATGAGACACATTTTCTATACAGAAAAGATGTCTCAATGAGACATATTTTCTATACAGAAAAGATGTCTCAATGAGACATATTTTCTATACAGAAAAGATGTCTCAATGAGACATATTTTCTATACAGAAAAGATGTCTCAATGAGACACATTTTCTATACAGAAAAGATGTCTCAATGAGACACATTTTCTACACAGAAAAGATGTCTCAATGAGACACATTTTCTACACTGAAAAGATGTCTCAATGAGACACATTTTCTATACAGAAAAGATGTCTCAATGAGACACATTTTCTATACAGAAAAGATGTCTCAATGAGACACATTTTCTATACAGAAAAGATGTCTCAATGAGACACATTTTCTATACAGAAAAGATGTCTCAATGACACACATTTTCTATACAGAAAAGATGTCTCAATGATGTCTCAACATTTTCTATACAGAAAAGATGTCTCAATGAGACACATTTTCTATACAGAAAAGATGTCTCAATGAGACACATTTTCTATACAGAAAAGATGTCTCAATGGGACACATTTTCAATAAGACACATTTTCTATTCAGAAGAGATGTCTCAATGCGACACATTTTCTATACAGAAGAGATGTCTCAATGCGACACATTTTCTATACAGAAAAGATGTCTTAATGAGACACATTTTCTACACAGAAAATATGTCTCAATGAGACACAATTTCCATACAGAAAAGATGTCTCAACGAGACACATTTTCTATACAGAAAAGATGTCTCAACGAGACACATTTTCTATACAGAATAGATGTCTCAATGAAACACATTTTCTATACAGAAAAGATGTCTCAATGAGACATTTTTTTTCTATAGGAAACCTATCTCAGACTCATTTCTATATAGAAAAAACATATTTTTCTTATAAACAAACTATGCGAGAAATATATTCTGTAACAATTCTTTGTAAGACATGACTTTAGAAAATAGATTTTATTGAGATTCTACTGAAATCATATAATCAATAGGAAACAGTTTTCCTCTATTGAAAAGTGCATATTATCCTTAAAATGTAGTGCACCTAGATAAGTCTGACGCTACACTTTAGATATTTTATACCAATTTACCGCCAGCAACCGTATACGTGACAGTAATTAATTTCAATTTGATTGACAAGACAAAATACAACTGTGGATTAAAACCTACCACCCACTAGTCGCGGTGGAGGTGGTAGTATTTGTGAGCATGATATCGAATAACAAACAAACGAACATAACGGATATATAAACAAAAGCGACTCTTTCAACTATAAAAAAAAACAATAACAAAAAACGGGGAAAATCAGATCAATGTTAGTTTTGAAACAAAAGATAACACGTTATAAAAACGCTGCTAGTATCTGCGTATGACTTTAGTACTAGGCTAAAGGATTTGTATTTTCGCATTTTTGCCAGAAAGCATCGACAGTAAAAAAAAAACAACCATACTAGTGCAACAGTTTTAGCCTGTCTCGTATCAACTAATTGGCAATATGGGTGCCAAAGAAAAAATATTATTTTTTTCAGGAATATGATATTGTCATAAAAGCTTTCATATGGAGATGGTTGTGGACATGATTTTGTGTTAACAAATTGAATTTGTATTATTTCTGGGGAAAAAACTAGTAACTGCCAGGAATTTAAAGTGAGAGCTTAGTTATTTTGTAGGATTTTGTAAACTTTTAAAAACTATTAAAAGACTTTATAGAAAAATAGAAAGCAATTTGTTTTTCTTTTATTGGAGTTTTAGTAAAAGCTATTTTTTTTCAGATTTTTTCCACCAAGAAAATATGTATGACTTGTTGGCTCAGAATTACTTTCATTGACTCTTATTGAGACAAGTTTTCTATATAGAAAATGCGTCTCATTAAGACAAGTTTTCTTTACGGAAAAAATGTCTCATTAAGACACAGTTTTTCAATACAGAAAAAGAAGACAAGTTTCTATACAGACAATGTGTCTCATTGAGACAAGTTTTCTATTCAGAAAGTGTGTCCTATTGAGACAGGATTACTATATAGAAAATGTGTCTCATTGAGTCAAGTCTTTTATATAGAAAATATGTCTCATTGAGACAAGTTTTCTATATAGAAAATGTGTCTCATTGAGACAAGTTTTCTATATAGAAAATATGTCTTATTGAGACAAGTTTTCTATATAGAAAATATATCTCATTGAGACAAGTTTTCTATATAGAAAATATGTCTCATTGAGACAAGTTTTCTATATAGAAAATATGTCTCATTGAGACAAGTTTTCTATATAGAAAATATGTCTCATTGAGACAAGTTTTCTATATAGAAAATATGTCTCATTGAGACAAGTTTTCTATATAGAAAATATGTCTCATTGAGACAAGTTTTCTATATAGAAAATATGTCTCATTGAGACAAGTTTTCTATATAGAAAATATGTCTCATTGAGACAAGTTTTCTATATAGAAAATATGTCTCATTGAGACAAGTTTTCTATATAGAAAATATGTCTCATTGAGACAAGTTTTCTATATAGAAAATATGTCTCATTGAGACAAGTTTTCTATATAGAAAATATGTCTCATTGAGACAAGTTTTCTTTATAGAAAATATGTCTCATTGAGACAAGTTTTCTTTATAGAAAATATGTCTCATTAAGACAAGTTTTCTATATAGAAAATATGTCTCATTGAGACAAGTTTTCTATATAGAAAATGTGTCTCATTGAGACAAGTTTTCTATATAGAAAATGTGTCTCATTGAGACAAGTTTTCTATATAGAAAATGTGTCTCATTGAGACAAGTTTTCTATATTGAAAATATGTCTCAATGAGACACATTTTCTGACATTTTCTGATTGAGACAAGTTTTCTATATAGAAAATGTGTCTCATTGAGACAAGTTTTTTATATAGAAAATGTGTCTCATTGAGACAAGTTTTCTATATAGAAAATGTGTCTCATTGAGACAAGTTTTCTATATAGAAAATGTGTCTCATTGAGACAAGTTTTCTATATAGAAAATGTGTCTCATTGAGACAGCTTTTCTGTGTAGAAAATGTGTCTCATTGAGACAGCTTTTCTGTGTAGAAAATGTGTCTCATTGAGACAGCTTTTCTCTATAGAAAATGTGTCTCATTGAGACATCTTTTCTGTATAGAAAATGTGTCTCATTGAGACATCTTTTCTGTATAGAAAATGTGTCTCATTGAGACATCTTTTCTGTATAGAAAATGTGTCTCATTGAGACATCTTTTCTGTATAGAAAATGTGTCTCATTGAGACATCTTTTCTGTATAGAAAATGTGTCTCATTGAGGCATATTTTTGACTAAAAATACAAAATTAATAATTTTCGAAAAAATTGCGATATTGTACTAAAACTGAGTGTGTTTGTTAAAAAAATATTATTATCGATGGTATCTAAACTATAATATGCAACAGTCATATACCTCTTCGCTTTATATTTTGTAATTTAAAATCTTTGTACAAAAGTAAAGGACACAAAAATCTTCTTTCTTGCTCTCTTCAAAAGCAATTGCAGTAATTTTTTTCATCACTTTTGTGTGAAATTTAATTTTGTTTCTCATAGGCTGTCAAGTTGCCTTTAGCCACTTACCTCAGTTGGAAAAAATCCCAAATAGGCTGTACAGCCACCGGCTAAAAGAACATCGCCTACAATGTTACTTATAGACTTATGAAGATTATGAGCTGTCTCCGACCAACGTGTCTTTTCGCCACCTAAGCCGCCCAATAGTTTTTCAGCTCTGTGAGAAAAAGGGAAAATTTTAAAGAATTAAAAAAAAGTGTAAATGTGTTTTATAAGAGAAAATTTTACCACCATTTTTAGTTTATTACCTGTTCAGTTTCTTTTCACAATTTTCAATTTCATCTTCCAAGCCTTTTTTCTGTCGCGATTTTTCCGCAAAGAAATCATTGAGTTTTTGCAATTTATCCAAAATCACCTGCAGTTCTGCTCGTTTGGAATTCAGTTTTTCCATTTGTGAAGCTAAATCATTTTCAGCCTCAGCTAAGGCGGCCTTTTTGGGCATAACAATACGAGCCACTTTATCATAAACATCCATGGCACGAACCCAATGACACAAACCCTCACAGGCGGTAGAGGCGGATTTGATTTTCTCGGGCACAAAATCACGATCGGCCACATATCTGAAGACACCATCATGTTAGAAATAAAAAGAATTTAATTTTAAAAATATCCGCTTACTTTTCTCGAATTTTCTTGATTATAGCGGGTGGTATATTGTCCTTATCAAATGTTTTTAGAGATTCCAAAAATTTCATATCACTGACCATGCGCAACGAAGCACCCCAGTAATCTTCCACCATTCGTCCGGAAGCATCTGGTTTACGATCTGGTTTTAAACCTTTGATAACACACACTGCCTCCAGTACCAGTTTTACGCCATAAGGAGGATTTTTCATGGATTTCACCACAAATATATCAGCCGGTTTGAGAGTATTTAAAGCATCTAAGGCGGCCTCCAGAGCTGGTATAGCCTCTGCCAAATCACTTTCGCAATCATCTTTAATAGCTTGAGCAGCGGCGGCTGCTTCATTAGCTGCTGCCTCATCGGCTCCCACCACTTCCTTTTTCTTTTCCGCCTCTGCCGTTTCGCGTTCAATATTCACCATTATCTTTTCCGTTTCCTCGGAGAGTACCTTTAATTTAGGCTGCAATTCATATAAATTTGATTGCATTTCACCCACTTGACCAGCTGCAAAATCTAATTTCTCCAAACCAGTTGTATATCTAAAGGAAAACGTTTACGTTTATTGTCGTTAAGTTGGAACTATTTGAACATGTTTTTGATTAAGAGTCAATAAATACTACTCTGTGTTATGTCCACTCGTACTCTGCTTGCTTGCTTACCTATCTCGTAATCTCGTTATCTCCTCAAGTTTTCGTATGTAAAAGGTACGAAATGCCTTTAACATTTCTAAATATGAAGAGGGTGTCACATAATTTCTTCTACCCAATTCTGTGAAACATCTGCAAAATCATCAGTAGCAAATGGTGCAGCAATAAACAACAACAACAAAAAGAGAAGATGAAATTTTATTTCATCTGTGTGTAGATGAGTTGAGTAATTTCATTTCATGTTTCCAACTTACTTTTCACTTGCACCGACAACGGATTGATTAAAATGCATTACACATTTTACCAATTCCTTTTCCAAATCACTCAATACAATTTCTTGTACTTCCTCTAAACTTTTTCTACTTTCTTTCGATTCATACGATTCAAGTGACTTATTGGCATCCGCATCTTCTGTTTCTTGTGATTGACCCAATTTCATTGAGCTAATAAAATATTCCGCAACACGTTCTAAAGCGTCTACCGGCCATGGCATGTACCTTGTATTAAAAAGGAAATATTACATACAGACAGACATAGATATTTATAGAGACTATGTGTGTGTACATTTGAATTAGATTTTGTGTGTTGTATGTGTTAAAGACGATTTTAGCAAACAAAAAGAGACCAAAAAGAAAAACTTAACAAGGACGAATTGATATGAACATTGCAACTTAAAGCATTTTGTAATAAGTTGTTAGATATGAAGTGCAACATAAGTGGGTTAATTGTTAATTAGTTACATTCATAGCTCGTTGATTAAAATTTCTATTTCTCAATTAAAATATTAATGGAATACCCACAATGTTAATGGAAAATAAAGAAAGTCAATAGATTAGTTCATAGAGTAGTGCAAAGAGTACATAGTACATAGATTAATTAATAGATCAAGTGGTAGAAACGATTAGTCAAGAGAATGGTCCTTAGAAAAGTCTATGGGGTAAGTTATAAGTAGTAATATAGGCTACTTAATAGACTAGTCAAAACACTTATCAATATAATATAGACTAGTCCATAGACTAACCCATAGACTAGTCAATGGAATAGTCTATAGACTAGTTAATGGAATAGTCTACAGACTAGTCAATAAAGCAGTCTATAACTAGCAAATAGAGTAGTCTAAAGACTAGTCAACAGAACAATCTATAGGCTAGTCAATAAAGTAGTCTATAAACTATGCTTGTCAATAAAGTAGTCTATAGTCAATAGAGCAGTCTATACACTAGTACATATAGTAGTCTATAAACTAGTCTATATAATAAAAAATTGAGTAGTATATAGACTAGTCAATAGAGTAGTCTACAGATTAGTCAATAGAGTAGTCTATAGACTAGTCCATAGAGTAGTCTATAGACTAGTCCATAGAGTAGTCTATAGACTAGTCCATAGAGTAGTCTATAGACTAGTCCATAGAGTAGTCTATAGACTAGTCCATAGAGTAGTCTATAGACTAGTCCATAGAGTAGTCTATGGACTAGTCCATAGAGTAGTCTATAGACAAGTCCAGTAGTCTATAGACTAGTCCATAGAGTAGTCTATAGACTAGTCAATATAGTAGTCTATTGACTAGTCCATAGAGTAGTGTATAGAGTAGTCCATAGAGTAGTCTACAAACTAGTCCATAGAGTAGTCTATATACTAGTCCATAAAATAGTCTATAGACTAGTCCATAGAGTAGTCTATAGACTGGTCCATAGAGTAGTCTATAGACTAGTCCATAGAGTAGTCTATAGACTAGTCCATAGAGTAGTCTATAGACTAGTCCATAGAGTAGTCTATAGACTAGCCCATAGAGAGGTCTATTGACTAGCCCAAAGAGAGGTTTATAGACTAGTCCATATAGTAGTCTATAGACAAGTCCATAGAGTAGTCTATAGACTAGTCCATAGAGTAGTCTATAGACTAGTCCATAGAGTACACAGTGGGGCAGAATGGAAATTTTTTGGAAATAAATCTGGCATTTCTAAACGGCTGATCCGATCGGGATAAAATTTGGCGTGAGCGTAGCCAAGGAGTATTCGAGTTTAAGTTTTGAAGATGAACCCTGCAGATGCCCCAGGGACGGCGCTGTGGCGGCTCAAAGTAGGGTACCTACGACATGTAAAATTTTTAAACTCGTGCCATTTTTTTGTTTTTCACCCAAATACAAAGATTTTTATATTTTGTGAAAGCGCTCGACGAGATCTTGAAAAAACATGCTTGGACATACTACTTATCTCTTATAATATCCGAGTTATAGACATTTAAAAATTTAGTGATACAAAATTTACCATACCTTGGTCCGCCTTTTTTTGAATACCGGGCGTAATTTTGAACCAAATGGACTCAATTTTTTCTTGTTAGTTAGACAACAAAATTTTCAATAATATACAAAAAATTTCAGATCAATATTGTTTACAGATCCAAAAATATACGTTTTTTAATTTAAAAATTCAAAAAATTTTAAATTTTTGGCGTTTTTTTTGCCAAAAATGTGTCTTAACTCTTTTATTAATAAAATAAAATTTTTATTAAGAACATATAACAATTTTATAGTTTTCTAAAAGGTATCTTTACGCAGAACGCTTTGGCGTAAAAAACTTGTCCTATTTTTTGAAAATGTTGCCACTGCGTCCTTCCGAATATGACCTATTTTTTATCAAAACTTCAACTTTGGGCGACATGTTCTAAAATCCCAAAGCTGGGATCAGAAAACTGAAAGCAGTTTTGGAAACCTCAATATGTTTTCTATTTACTCCAAAAGTATTTTCCCAGCCCTGAAAGAAATGTGGACCCTATGGGCAAAAAAGTAAAAAATCCCATTTTTGGGATTTTCATTCCTATTTTTGGGATTTGCGGGATGCCCTTTGACCTTTTCAATTTTTTTTTTTGCATATTCTTATTTGAAATAACAAATTTAACAAGCGTTGAAAATTTCATTGAGTTTTGTTCATAAATAAAGATTTTGTCATATATTACATATTTGTTTAATTTCTAAAACTATGATTTATATCAAAATTTTAATAGGATCGCATATAGCTACAACAATTTAGTCCATATTTATCCCTTAATATCATTTTTTAGTTAGATATGGAAATTCTCGACCCTTTACAAAAAATTTCAAGCCAATATCTCAATTACATTCAAAAATATGTTCATTTAAACCTGTGTCCTTTAATTTCATCTTTTTCATATTTTAGTATTAAGTATGACAGAACATACATTTGGTGTTGAATAAAATATTTGGACAATTTTTAAAAATTATTTAGTTAATTATTTTATTATAATATTGTATATAAAATAAAAAAAATTATAATTTTATTATGAGCCACGCACAACAACACCTAAATCACCCCACACAAATTACCTTTCCCGCCCACCGAAATATAAAACACAATTTAATACAATATCATCAGTTAGTATAATAGCTTTTTTTATTTGAACTGTTTATCTTAAACATAATACAATTAATTCTTACAACCTACTTATATAATTAATTCCTAACACTACTTATTTTCTATAAAATAATCTGTCATATCGGTATACATATCCAGAAGGTAATATAAGTCCTTTAAATCTTCCTTGTTTTGGGATGATAGAGTTTCATAACAAATCCATCTTTTTCGCATAGTTGAAAGAACAGGATCAGAAGATAGAAGTAAACTATTAAAAATATCTTCATTCTGTGATTGCTTGGAGCATTTTCTTGAGCTGAATAGTTGAACATGCTTAAAATCTCGATTCCTCGCTTCCTGGGCTTCTTCTGTTAACTCTCCAAGTGGAAGAATATTCGATTCAATTATTATTTGACCATGACACAATACTTTGTGTACTGTTGGTGTTAGTTCCCTCCATGGATACAGAGATACAAGTAATTTAGAAATTTCAGATGTATATTCCCCAAATCGATTTTCATTAATTTTATGTTTACTATTCAGTGCCATTAAAATAGTTTTAACTCTTCGAAGCAACTCCTTGTCGATTCCAGTTATTTTTGAAGTCATTTCAAAATCACGAAAAAACCTTCTCGACGTATTACCGTCATTTGTACTACCGCAACTTGAAAGTGGTTTGTCGATGTTTAATCCCATCTGAACTTTAAATTCTTCTTGGATTCTGCTTTTTTCCGCAGCTCTCAGTTCTTTCAATTCTTCATTATTTTTTGTTGATTTAGTAGGATAGTTTGTTTTTTTTCCTGGATCGCCTTGTATGATGGTAATATATTGTGTCCTTTTTCATGCAGAGCTTTCCTTAATATTTGGTACTTATTTCGACTGAGACCCAGTTCCAACATAAGCGCTATTGCTTCCTCTTCAGTAAAATTTGATTATGATGTTGGAGTTGGTATACTTTCCACAATTCGCTTAAGTCGTTTTGGTGATGCATTAGGAAGAATAGTTGCAATATGTACGACATCCATATGTTGGTTTTCCTTTTTCAGCATTTCGTTAAATGTATCAGCAATTTCCTCATTTGAGATTGAAAAAAGTTTTTGTGTGACCCTCTTTTTTTTACCTTGAACATAAGTCTTCGTATGACTTGCAAGGCGCTCCTGTTGATGTGTTGTAAGTTGAGATTTCCGTAGTAGTTTCCATCCAACTACAAAATTTTAATCGAAATTTCTTTTGATTTCCATCCACAGACTTACTTTTTACATCAAAAAGTTTTAAAAAGTTTTCAATTTTTGATATGCCTGTTTTGTCTACTTTTCTACTATATGTAGTTTTTATATAATTTGAAATGTCTTCAATTCTTTCTGGCCCTTTTGAAGATATACTCCATAAAACGGAACACAACTCTTCGTACTTTAATGTAATCTTCATTGTAGATTTATTAAATATGGTACTTAAAATCTGAGAAGTTTACTTATATACCAATTCTTGTCATTTCCGATACAGGTATTCCAAAGTAAAAAATTACGAATTGTCTACCTATTAACATTTAGGACTATATTACTATAACCTGTATTTTTATTTTTACCTACATGATCATAAACGAAACAGAACGAAATGATCTGTCGAAAAAATTTAGGTAAAAAATAGTTATAAATTTTTGAAAATTTAAGCATAATAGGACCTTTCAATTATAAGGATAAGCAAACAAATAGAAAATAGGTAAATATAAGATTTAAATATGTGCTGTCATACTTAATACTAAAATATGAAAAAGATGAAATTAAAGGACACAGGTTTAAATGAACATATTTTTGAATGTAATTGAGATATTGGCTTGAAATTTTTTGTAAAGGGTCGAGAATTTCCATATCTAACTAAAAAATGATATTAAGGGATAAATATGGACTAAATTGTTGTAGCTATCTGCGATCCTATTAAAATTTTGATATAAATCATAGTTTTAGAAATTAAACAAATATGTAATATATGACAAAATCTTTATTTATGAACAAAACTCAATGAAATTTTCAACGCTTGTTAAATTTGTCATTTCAAATAAGAATATGCAAAAAAAAAAATTGAAAAGGTCAAAGGGCATCCCGCAATTCCCAAAAATAGGAATGAAAATCCCAAAAATGGGATTTTTTACTTTTTTGCCCATAGGGTCCACATTTCTTTCAGGGCTGGGAAAATACTTTTGGAGTAAATAGAAAACATATTGAGGTTTCCAAAACTGCTTTCAGTTTTCTGATCCCAGCTTTGGGATTTTAGAACATGTCGCCCAAAGTTGAAGTTTTGATAAAAAATAGGTCATATTCGGAAGGACGCAGTGGCAACATTTTCAAAAAATAGGACAAGTTTTTTACGCCAAAGCGTTCTGCGTAAAGATACCTTTTAGAAAACTATAAAATTGTTATATGTTCTTAATAAAAATTTTATTTTATTAATAAAAGAGTTAAGACACATTTTTGGCAAAAAAACGCCAAAAATCTAAAATTTTTTGAATTTTTAAATTAAAAAACGTATATTTTTGGATCTGTAAACAATATTGATCTGAAATTTTTTGTATATTATTGGAAATTTCGTTGTCTAACTAACAAGAAAAAATTGAGTCCATTTGGTCCAAAATTACGCCCGGTATTCAAAAAAAGGCGGACCAAGGTATGGTAAATTTTGTATCACTAAGTTTTTATATGCCTATAACTCGGATATTATAAGAGATAAGTAGTATGTCCAAGCATGTTTTTTCAAGATCTCGTCGAGCGCTTTCACAAAATATAAAAATCTTTGTATTTGGGTGAAAAACAAAAAAATGGCACGAGTTTAAAAATTTTACATGTCGTAGGTACCCTACTTTGAGCCGCCACAGCGCCGTCCCTGGGGCATCTGCAGGGTTCATCTTCAAAACTTAAACTCGAATACTCCTTGGCTACGCTCACACCAAATTTTATCCCGATCGGATCAGCCGTTTAGAAATGCCAGATTTATTTCCAAAAAATTTCCATTCTGCCCCACTGTGGAGTAGTCTATAGACTAGTCCATAGAGTAGTCTATAGACTAGTCCATAGAGTAGTCTATAGACTAGTCCATAGAGTAGTCTATAGACTAGTCTATATACTAGTCTATAGACTAGTCTATATACTAGTCAATGGAGTAGTCTATAGACTAGTCAATAAAGTAATCTATAGACTAGTCAATAGTCAATTGACTAAGCAATACACCATAGACTGGTCAATAGATTGATCAATAGAATAGTTAATAGTGTAATCACTTGACTAATCTATCACTGTACTTAGTCACTCGACTATTTGACTATACTATAAACTAATCAATCGGCTACTCCATAGACATAGTCATAAAACCAGTGTTCAGAGTAATCCACAAACTAGAGCCTAGTCCTAGACTAGTTTTTATATTTGTCAATAAAATAAAGCATCAATTATGCAATAGTATTCATGTAGTCCAGACAATATACATACTAGTCAATAGGCTTGTATATTCCATATACTAGTCAGTAAATTAGTCTGAAGATCAAATAGCTGAAAATCAATTTAGTGCTTTTAATACGAAGAATGTACCTTTTCAATAAAAGTTTTGGTACACAAATTATAAATTGTGCTACTCCAACTAAATGTTCAAATAGATAGATTTCTTACATCCTTTTTAAAACACTGTTAAAGCAACTCGAACATTTTGTGATAACATTTATGAATGCAGTATTGGTTAGTAACACATTTACTATATATAAGGCTGATCCAATTTTACTGAGTTAAAAATATTTCAGTGGTAAAAATTTCAGGGCCTAATTTCCTAACTTTCTGTGTAGAATTTGTCATTAACGGACTTCGTAAATTGCTTTTCTCTTGTACTTTAACAACAAAATTAAAATTCTTACTAATATATGGTAATTGTAGTTTCATAATACTACGGTAACATATGCTTTGTACTTATAAAAAATTTGATTAAATTCTATTTATTTATTAATTTAATACAATTCAAAATTTCTAACTTTTATTTCCTTTTTTTTCTATATTTTTCTTATATTTATTAGTTTCTTTTTTAGTAGAAATTTTATATATGAAAATTGTAAAAAATACTATGAAAAACCCCTACAATGTCACACTGAGCTGCTGATGTCATTCATGCAGGATACGAGTACATAGTTGACAAAAAAAACTACACAACAGGAAGGAACAAGAATTTTCTTCATAATATTTTCCTGATTTTTTATCTGAGATGTCTGTAGTTTCGTTTTTCACAATACTTTTTTTATACTCTTCTGATTCTACATAAGAGGAAATGTTGTAAAAATTTTTGAGAAAAAATAAAATCATGTAGTTTTTGTTGTTAACAAGTAATTTGCACAAGACATACAATAAAATCTAACAATAAATATGTTTATTTTGTATATATTTTTTTTTATATAAAGGGTTTTGGAACTAAAGGGTCTTTAAGAGGAAACAATAAATTATATTTCAAAACCTTTTAGAGCACCATACCATAACCCAAATGTGGTCTAATAACGAGAAATTCAGGGAAATCTGCAACTATACCTTTTAACCTCAAAATATTGTCTCATACTCTATTTTCCTTAATTGCTGAATTACTTATTACAACAATACGTCACTATATCCTGCCTTATAGTTCCAAGAATTTCGAGCAGTCTTTTAATAGCAACAAATAATTATAAAGTATTTAAAGAAACATAATAATAATAACAGACTTTAAGTTCAATAAGTAGATAACTACAAACTTTTCCAATAAATAAAAAAATTAAAAATAAAAAATATAAATTCAAATAGATGTAGTCACCCAGAGGCTGAAGTAGTAGCACTTACCAATCGATTGTGCAACAGTTTATCAATGATGGATACATACGTATACGTTCTTTAAATGATTCGCCAATGGGAGAAAATGCCAATGCAACATGCAATTGTTCTCGTATACGCTCAATGAAAAACGAATACATTTCACTGGGTAAAGGATCAATATTTTTACCCTTAAGTATTTCAACAATTTAAGTGTTAAAAGTAATCATTGTAGTGAAGGCAGGCGAAGAAGAAACACAAATGCAAATCATTATTATGATTTACAATTGAATATGAAATGATTTGATGTATAATGATGTTATAATTTGTGGAACATCAAAAACAATGCACCAGTATTGTACACACACATACATGTAACCAGCACACAGCAGTAAATATTATAAGTTATAATCATAATCATCGGCAGCATCATCAGTAACAATACAAGCATCATCCATAAGTATCATCATCAGCAGTTGTATTATAATGTTGCATAAACGACAGGATGTATTGCAGTAGTAGTATAAGTAGTAGTTGGCATAGAGTTGGTATAGTAGTAGCAGTAGTTGTTGTTATTATTGTCGTTACCACACAAAATTAGGAAATCACAATGCATTAGAGCATACGCAAATAAGTAGTTCAGCATGTCAATGAAATTTTGATTTGCCGGAAATAAAATAAATTGAATTTTAGTTTCATTTTACATATTCTTTTTTTACATAAACTGTGCGATATTAGACACAACAATTTTATATATATTTTCTCTAATTTGTATACTTCAATAAAAATGTGCTAATCACTTACCAATTGTTTTGCAATATTAATCATATTTTCCATTATGGCTGCTTTATCCTCTAATTGATAAAGATTTGGTAAATCACCACAATTTAAAATGCCATTTATGTCCTCTATGTAACCCTCATCGGTGGCCTGCAATTGAAAAAATAGGGAAAAAATATGATTAAAAAGCAGATGCTGGTTGTCAGGCGTATGAGTGATATTTTTTTAGTTATCAGGAGATTATATAATTATTACGTATACGCAATATGTACGAAATTTTTTTTCGCAATTTAAGCTGATGCAGATTGTCAGGCGTATGAGTGATATTTTTTAGTTACTATGAGATTATATAATTATCACGTATACGCAACGTGTAAGACAAAAAAACTAACTAACTAACTAACTAACTACTAACTAACTAACTAACTAACTAACTAACTAACTAACTAACTAACTACTAACTAACTAACTAACTAACTACTAACTAACTAACTAACTAACTAACTAACTAACTAACTAACTAACTAACTAACTAACTAACTAACTAACTAACTAACTAACTAACTAACTAACTAACTAACTAACTAACTAACTAACTAACTAACTAACTAACTAACTACTAACTAACTAACTAACTAACTAACTAACTAACTAACTAACTAACTAACTAACTAACTACTAACTAACTACTAACTAACTAACTAACTAACTAACTAACTAACTAACTAACTAACTAACTAACTAACTAACTAACTAACTAACTAACTACTAACTAACTAACTAACTAACTAACTAACTAACTAACTAACTAACTAACTAACTAACTAACTACTAACTAACTAACTAACTAACTAACTAACTAACTAACTAACTAACTAACTAACTAACTAACTAACTAACTAACTAACTAACTAACTAACTAACTAACTAACTAACTAACTAACTAACTAACTAACTAACTAACTAACTAACTAACTAACTAACTAACTAACTAACTACTAACTAACTAACTAACTAACTAACTAACTAACTAACTAACTAACTAACTAACTAACTAACTAACTAACTAACTAACTAACTAACTACTAACTAACTAACTAACTAACTAACTAACTAACTAACTAACTAACTAACTAACTAACTAACTAACTAACTACTAACTAACTAACTAACTAACTAACTAACTAACTAACTAACTAACTAACTAACTAACTAACTAACTAACTAACTACTAACTAACTACTAACTAACTAACTAACTAACTAACTAACTAACTAACTAACTAACTAACTAACTAACTAACTAACTAACTAACTAACTAACTAACTAACTAACTAACTAACTAACTAACTAACTAACTAACTAACTAACTAACTAACTAACTAACTACTAACTAACTAACTAACTAACTAACTACTAACTAACTAACTAACTAACTAACTAACTAACTAACTAACTAACTAACTAACTAACTAACTAACTAACTAACTAACTAACTAACTAACTACTAACTAACTAACTAACTAACTAACTAACTAACTAACTAACTAACTAACTAACTAACTAACTAACTAACTAACTAACTAACTAACTAACTAACTAACTAACTAACTAACTAACTAACTAACTAACTAACTAACTAACTAACTAACTAACTAACTAACTAACTAACTAACTAACTAACTAACTAACTAACTAACTAACTAACTAACTAACTACTAACTAACTAACTAACTAACTAACTAACTAACTAACTAACTAACTAACTAACTAACTAACTAACTAACTAACTAACTAACTAACTAACTAACTAACTAACTAACTAACTAACTACTAACTAACTAACTAACTAACTAACTAACTAACTAACTAACTAACTAACTAACTACTAACTAACTAACTAACTAACTAACTAACTAACTAACTAACTAACTAACTAACTAACTACTAACTAACTAACTAACTAACTAACTAACTAACTAACTAACTAACTAACTAACTAACTAACTAACTAACTAACTAACTAACTAACTAACTAACTAACTACTAACTAACTAACTAACTAACTAACTAACTAACTAACTAACTAACTAACTAACTAACTAACTAACTAACTAACTAACTAACTAACTAACTACTAACTAACTAACTAACTAACTAACTAACTACTAACTAACTAACTAACTAACTAACTAACTAACTAACTAACTAACTAACTAACTAACTAACTAACTAACTAACTAACTAACTAACTAACTAACTAACTAACTAACTAACTAACTAACTAACTAACTAACTAACTAACTAACTAACTAACTAACTAACTAACTAACTAACTAACTAACTAACTACTAACTAACTAACTAACTACTAACTAACTAACTAACTAACTAACTAACTAACTAACTAACTAACTAACTAACTAACTAACTAACTACTAACTAACTAACTAACTAACTAACTAACTAACTAACTAACTAACTACTAACTACTAACTAACTAACTAACTAACTACTAACTAACTAACTAACTAACTAACTAACTAACTAACTAACTAACTAACTAACTAACTAACTAACTAACTAACTAACTAACTAACTAACTAACTAACTAACTAACTAACTAACTAACTAACTAACTAACTAACTAACTAACTAACTAACTAACTAACTAACTACTAACTAACTAACTAACTAACTAACTAACTAACTACTAACTAACTAACTAACTAACTAACTAACTAACTAACTAACTAACTAACTACTAACTAACTAACTAACCTAACTAACTAACTAACTAACTAACTAACTAACTAACTAACTAACTAACTAACTAACTAACTAACTAACTAACTAACTACCTAACTAACTAACTAACTAACTAACTAACTAACTAACTAACTAACTACTAACTAACTAACTAACTAACTAACTAACTAACTAACTAACTAACTAACTAACTAACTAACTACTAACTAACTAACTAACTAACTAACTAACTAACTAACTAACTAACTAACTACTAACTAACTAACTACTAACTAACTAACTAACTAACTAACTAACACTAACTACTAACTAACTAACTAACTACTAACTAACTAACTAACTAACTACTAACTAACTAACTAACTAACTACTAACTAACTAACTAACTAACTAACTAACTAACTACTAACTAACTACTAACTAACTAACTAACTAACTAACTAACTAACTACTAACTAACTAACTAACTAACTAACTAACTAACTAACTACTAACTACTAACTAACTAACTACTAACTACTAACTAACTTAACTAACTAACTAACTAACTAACTACTAACTAACTAACTAACTAAGACTAACTAACTAACTACTAACTAACTAACTACTAACTAACTAACTAACTAACTACTAACTACTAACTAACTAAACTAACTAACTAACTAACTAACTAACTACTAACTAACTAACTACTACTAACTAACTAACTACTAACTACACTAACCTAACTAATAAACTAACTAACTAACTAACTAACTAACTAACTACTAACTTACTAACTAACTAACTAACTAACTACTAACTAACTAACTAACTAACTAACTTAACTAACTAACTAACTAACTTACTAACTAACTAACTAACTAACTAACTAACCTAACTACTAACTAACTAACTAACTCACTAACTAACTAACTAAACTAACTAACGAACTAACTAACTAACTAAACGAACGAACTAACTAACTAACGAACTAAACTAACTAACTTAACTAACTTAACTAACTAAACTACTAACTACTAACTAACTAACTAACTAACTTAACTAACTAACTAACGAACAACTATACGAACGTGCCTTTAAGAAGTGGAAGTATATAATATACAGATTGTTCTTTTTTGTTCTAACTTATTTTCTTTTTTTTTCAGGTACGTTAAAATTTCTCAAATAAATGCAGTATGTCATATTCTAATACTAATACTAATTCATAGTATATTCATTTTAATGCATAGTTTTCAATATTTTTTAATATCTTTATTTAGCATGATTATTTAAAGAATTATATTCTAAAAGTTGTATATGATATCGCAATCACTGCCCAAATTAATATTGTGTTACTAGTATCAAATAGTATAAATTAATTAATTCAAACTAAACTATAGTTAAACAAATGAATATGTTAGACTAGTGTTACCTTCTTAAAATAACCATAAATAACTATAAAATGAGGTAGACCAAACTAAGGAAAGAGGTTTTAATAAATCATTATTTATAATAATATACAGATGCTAGAAAATCGTATATCATCTTGATTTAATACAAATTATATAAACTTTATTTCCTACTACTACACAAATTTTCAATAATTCAAGAAACAAAGCGTCGATGGAAATGGAAAATAACATGTTATAACAAAATTTAAAAAAAATTATAAAATTTTCTAAATAATGTATCTGAACTGAAATGATGTGACTAGTATATAAATTAATAAAATATTAGGCCACTTTATGTTTTGATAAACGAAAAACTATTATTAGTTTGCAATCGTATCCATTAGAAATACATACATAAATACATATGAATATTATGGAGAAATGAAGAGAAATCTATTTTATGATTTAATATTTTAACAAAATATTCCTTACAACTTATAAGTTGTTATGAATTTATAAATAATGAGTAACAGTGTAATGGTTGTAGAATATTCCTCTAATACAAGAATAAATATGTAATATATTCTGGATAGTAATAAAGATTTAACATTGAAATATATTTATGTATAGCCAAATGCAATTTCATATTTCTTTAATATCTTTACCCTCATCACAGTGGGGCAGAATGGAAATTTTTTGGAAATAAATCTGGCATTTCTAAACGGCTGATCCGATCGGGATAAAATTTGGCGTGAGCGTAGCCAAGGAGTATTCGAGTTTAAGTTTTGAAGATGAACCCTGCAGATGCCCCAGGGACGGCGCTGTGGCGGCTCAAAGTAGGGTACCTACGACATGTAAAATTTTTAAACTCGTGCCATTTTTTTGTTTTTCACCCAAATACAAAGATTTTATATTTTGTGAAAGCGCTCGACGAGATCTTGACATACTACTTATCTCTGGACATACTACTTATCTCTTATAATATCCGAGTTATAGGCATTTAAAAATTTAGTGATACAAAATTTACCATACCTTGGTCCGCCTTTTTTTGAATACCGGGCGTAATTTTGGACCAAATGGACTCAATTTTTTCTTGTTAGTTAGACAACAAAATTTCCAATAATATGCAAAAAATTTCAGATCAATATTGTTTACAGATCCAAAAATATACGTTTTTTAATCTAAAAATTCAAAAAATTTTAGATTTTTGGCGTTTTTTTGCCAAAAATGTGTCTTAACTCTTTTATTAATAAAATAAAATTTTTATTAAGAACATATAACAATTTTATAGTTTTCTAAAAGGTATCTTTACGCAGAACGCTTTGGCGTAAAAAACTTGTCCTATTTTTTGAAAATGTTGCCACTGCGTCCTTCCGAATATGACCTATTTTTTATCAAAACTTCAACTTTGGGCGACATGTTCTAAAATCCCAAAGCTGGGATCAGAAAACTGAAAGCAGTTTTGGAAACCTCAATATGTTTTCTATTTACTCCAAAAGTATTTTCCCAGCCCTGAAAGAAATGTGGATCCTATGGGCAAAAAAGTAAAAAATCCCATTTTTGGGATTTTCATTCCTATTTTTGGGAATTGCGGGATGCCCTTTGACCTTTTCAATTTTTTTTTTGCATATTCTTATTTGAAATGACAAATTTAACAAGCGTTGAAAATTTCATTGAGTTTTGTTCATAAATAAAGATTTTGTCATATATTACATATTTGTTTAATTTCTAAAACTATGATTTATATCAAAATTTTAATAGGATCGCAGATAGCTACAACAATTTAGTCCATATTTATCCCTTAATATCATTTTTTAGTTAGATATGGAAATTCTCGACCCTTTACAAAAAATTTCAAGCCAATATCTCAATTACATTCAAAAATATGTTCATTTAAACCTGTGTCCTTTAATTTCATCTTTTTCATATTTTAGTATTAAGTATGACAGCACATATTTAAATCTTATATTTACCTATTTTCTATTTGTTTGCTTATCCTTATAATTGAAAGGTCCTATTATGCTTAAGTTTTCAAAAATGTATAACTATTTTTTACCTAAATTTTTCGACAGATCATTTCGTTCTGTTTCGTTTATGATCATTTAGGTAAAAATATACAGGTAATGATAATTTCGATTCATTCACTAATAAGAAATATCAATGACTGAATTACAGGTTATAGTAATATAGTCCTAAATGTTAATAGGTAGACAATTCGTAATTTTTTACTTTGGAATACCTGTATCGGAAATGACAAGAATTGGTATATAAGTAAACTTCTCAGATTTTAAGTACCATATTTAATAAATCTACAATGAAGATTACATTAAAGTACGAAGAGTTGTGTTCCGTTTTATGGAGTATATCTTCAAAAGGGCCAGAAAGAATTGAAGAGATTTCAAATTATATAAAACTACATATAGTAGAAAAGTAGACAAAACAGGCATATCAAAAATTGAAAACTTTTTAAAACTTTTTGATGTAAAAAGTAAGTCTGTGGATGGAAATCAAAAGAAATTTCGATTAAAATTTTGTAGTTGGATGGAAACTACTACGGAAATCTCAACTTACAACACATCAATAGGAGCGCCTTGCAAGTCATACGAAGACTTATGTTCAAGGTAAAAAAAAAGAGGGTCACACAAAAACTTTTTTCAATCTCAAATGAGGAAATTGCTGATACATTTAACGAAATGCTGAAAAAGGAAAACCAACATATGGATGTCGTACATATTGCAACTATTCTTCCTAATGCATCACCAAAACGACTTAAGCGAATTGTGGAAAGTATACCAACTCCAACATCATAATCAAATTTTACTGAAGAGGAAGCAATAGCGCTTATGTTGGAACTGGGTCTCAGTCGAAATAAGTACCAAATATTAAGGAAAGCTCTGCATGAAAAAGGACACAATATATTACCATCATACAAGGCGATCCAGGAAAAAAAAAACAAACTATCCTACTAAATCAACAAAAAATAATGAAGAATTGAAAGAACTGAGAGCTGCGGAAAAAAGCATAATCCAAGAAGAATTTAAAGTTCAGATGGGATTAAACATCGACAAACCACTTTCAAGTTGCGGTAGTACAAATGACGGTAATACGTCGAGAAGGTTTTTTCGTGATTTTGAAATTACTTCAAAAATAACTGGAATCGACAAGGAGTTGCTTCGAAGAGTTAAAACTATTTTAATGGCACTGAATAGTAAACATAAAATTAATGAAAATCGATTTGGGGAATACACATCTGAAATTTCTAAATTACTTGTATCTCTGTATCCATGGAGGGAACTAACACCAACAGTACACAAAGTATTGTGTCATGGTCAAATAATAATTGAATCGAATATTCTTCCACTTGGAGAGTTAACAGAAGAAGCTCAGGAAGCGAGGAATCGAGATTTTAAGCATGTTCAACTATTCAGCTCAAGAAAATGCTCCAGGCAATCACAGAATGAAGATATTTTTAATAGTTTACTTCTATCTTCTGATCCTGTTCTTTCAACTATGCGAAAAAGATGGATTTGTTATGAAACTCTATCATCTCAAAACAAGGAAGATTTAAAGGACTTATATTACCTTCTGGATATGTATACCGATATGACAGATTATTTTATAGAAAATAAGTAGTGTTAGGAATTATCTATATAAGTAGGTTGTAAGAATTAATTGTATTATGTTTAAGATAAACAGTTCAAATAAAAAAAGCTATTATACTAACTGATGATATTGTATTAAATTGTGTTTTATATTTCGGTGGGCGGGAAAGGTAATTTGTGTGGGGTGATTTAGGTGTTGTTGTGCGTGGCTCATAATAAAATTATAATTTTTTTTATTTTATATACAATATTATAATAAAATAATTAACTAAATAATTTTTAAAAATTGTCCAAATATTTTATTCAACACCAAATGTATGTTCTGTCATACTTAATACTAAAATATGAAAAAGATGAAATTAAAGGACACAGGTTTAAATGAACATATTTTTTAATGTAATTGAGATATTGGTTTGAAATTTTTTGTAAAGGGTCGAGAATTTCCATATCTAACTAAAAAATGATATTAAGGGATAAATATGGACTAAATTGTTGTAGCTATCTGCGATCCTATTAAAATTTTGATATCAATCATAGTTTTAGAAATTAAACAAATATGTAATATATGACAAAATCTTTATTTATGAACAAAACTCAATGAAATTTTCAACGCTTGTTAAATTTGTCATTTCAAATAAGAATATGCAAAAAAAAAAATTGAAAAGGTCAAAGGGCATCCCGCAATTCCCAAAAATAGGAATGAAAATCCCAAAAATGGGATTTTTTACTTTTTTGCCCATAGGGTCCACATTTCTTTCAGGGCTGGGAAAATACTTTTGGAGTAAATAGAAAACATATTGAGGTTTCCAAAACTGCTTTCAGTTTTCTGATCTCAGCTTTGGGATTTTAGAACATGTCGCCCAAAGTTGAAGTTTTGATAAAAAATAGGTCATATTCGGAAGGACGCAGTGGCAACATTTTCAAAAAATAGGACAAGTTTTTTACGCCAAAGCGTTCTGCGTAAAGATACCTTTTAGAAAACTATAAAATTGTTATATGTTCTTAATAAAAATTTTATTTTATTAATAAAAGAGTTAAGACACATTTTTGGCAAAAAAACGCCAAAAATCTAAAATTTTTTGAATTTTTAGATTAAAAAACGTATATTTTTGGATCTGTAAACAATATTGATCTGAATTTTTTGCATATTATTGGAAATTTTGTTGTCTAACTAACAAGAAAAAATTGAGTCCATTTGGTCCAAAATTACGCCCGGTATTCAAAAAAAGGCGGACCAAGGTATGGTAAATTTTGTATCACTAAATTTTTAAATGCCTATAACTCGGATATTATAAGAGATAAGTAGTATGTCCAGAGATAAGTAGTATGTCAAGATCTCGTCGAGCGCTTTCACAAAATATAAAAATCTTTGTATTTGGGTGAAAAACAAAAAAATGGCACGAGTTTAAAAATTTTACATGTCGTAGGTACCCTACTTTGAGCCGCCACAGCGCCGTCCCTGGGGCATCTGCAGGGTTCATCTTCAAAACTTAAACTCGAATACTCCTTGGCTACGCTCACGCCAAATTTTATCCCGATCGGATCAGCCGTTTAGAAATGCCAGATTTATTTCCAAAAAATTTCCATTCTGCCCCACTGTGCCTCAGTATACCGAAATTATATTGGTAATATATTGTTTTATTTTTCTTATTTATCATAACTGAGTAGTAATAAAAATAATATTACTTCATTATATTTTCTACTACTTTCCACAATCTGATACTTTACCTGTGAATCAGAGAAAAGAAAAACCGTATGATTTAAATTAAATCCAGCGCTCATCAATATCTTTTTTAAATCTTCACGCCAATCTTGTTGTGTATAAGTTTTTGTCACTTGCACTGTCATTAATCTACAATCAGCAATGTGAGCAGCCAAACGGCAGGAACTACGTCGACCAGAACCACCCATACCGACCATTAAAATATTACCGCGTGGCATTTGTAGAACTCGTGAAACTCTAGAAAACGACAAATGGAAAAAAGAACAAAAATTCAAGAAAAAAAATAATAATAAAACGGTAAAAAAGTAAAATAATGGAAAAAATCTAGATGCAAATGAATTGTTATGCACATTTGGTATGAATACATATGCATGAGCATATGTACGGAGTAAGAATGTGGAAAATAGGGCAACCGGTTATATGAAACATCGTAAAAAAAGAAATAAATAAACACGGATATCTAGCTAATAAAGGGCTCGACTCAAAATTTTGCTCACAAGAGCTATCATAGTTCATTCCTGGTAGATCTCTTTCAGTTTTAGTTCAGTTCTAGTTCAGTTCTAGTTCAGTTCTAGTTCAGTTCTAGCTCAGTTCTAGTTCAGTTCTAGTTCAGTTCTAGTTCAGTTCTAGTTCAGTTCAGTTCTAGTTCAGTTCTAGTTCAGTTCTAGTTCAGTTCTAGTTCAGTTCTAGTTCATTCTAGTTCAGTTCTAGTTCAGTTCTAGTTCAGTTCTAGTTCAGTTCTAGTTCAGTTCTAGTTCAGTTCAGTTCTAGTTCAGTTCTAGTTCAGTTCTAGTTCATTCTAGTTCATTCTAGTTCAGTTCTAGTTCGTTCTAGTTCAGTTCTAGTTCAGTTCTAGTTCAGTTCTAGTTCATTCTAGTTCAGTTCAGTTCTAGTTCAGTTCTAGTTCAGTTCTAGTTCAGTTTCTAGTTTCAGTTCTAGTTCAGTTCTAGTTCAGTTTCTAGTTCAGTTCAGTTCTAGTTCAGTTCTAGTTCAGTTCTAGTTCAGTTCTAGTTCAGTTCTAGTTCAGTTCTAGTTCATTCTAGTTCAGTCTAGTTCATTCTAGTTCAGTTCTAGTTCAGTTCTAGTTCAGTTCTAGTTCAGTTCAGTTCTAGTTCAGTTTCTAGTTCAGTTCTAGTTCAGTTCTAGTTCAGTTCTAGTTCAGTTCTAGTTCAGTTCTAGTTCATTTAGTTCAGTTCTAGTTCAGTTCTAGTTCAGTTCTAGTTCAGTTCTAGTTCAGTTCTAGTTCAGTTCTAGTTCAGTTCTAGTTCAGTTCTAGTTCAGTTCTAGTTCAGTTCTAGTTCAGTTCTAGTTCAGTTCTAGTTCAGTTCTAGTTCAGTTCTAGTTCAGTTCTAGTTCAGTCTAGTTTCAGTTCTAGTTCAGTTCATTTCAGTTCTCTAGTTCAGTTCTAGTTCAGTTCTAGTTCAGTTCTAGTTCAGTTCTAGTTCAGTTCTAGTTCAGTTCTAGTTCAGTTCTATTCAGTTCTTTCATTCTAGTTCAGTTCTAGTTCAGTTCTAGTTCAGTTCTAGTTCAGTTTAGTTCAGTTCTAGTTCAGTTCTAGTTCAGTTCTAGTTCAGTTCTAGTTCAGTTCTAGTTCAGTTCTAGTTCAGTTCTAGTTCAGTTCTAGTTCAGTTCTAGTTCAGTTCTAGTTCAGTTCTAGTTCAGTTCTAGTTCATTCTAGTTCAGTTCTAGTTCTAGTTCAGTTCTAGTTCAGTTCTAGTTCAGTTCTAGTTCAGTTCTTCAGTTCTAGTTCAGTTCTAGTTCAGTTCTAGTTCAGTTCTAGTTCAGTTCTAGTTCAGTTCTAGTTTCAGTTCTAGTTCAGTTCTAGTTCATTCTAGTTCAGTTCTAGTTCAGTTCTAGTTCAGTTCTAGTTCAGTTCTAGTTCAGTTCTAGTTCATTCTAGTTCAGTTCTAGTTCATTCTAGTTCAGTTCTAGTTCAGTTCTAGTTCAGTTCTAGTTCTAGTTCTCTAGTTCAGTTCTAGTTCAGTTCTAGTTCAGTTCTAGTTCAGTTCTAGTTCAGTTCTAGTTCAGTTCTAGTTCAGTTCTAGTTCAGTTCTAGTTCAGTTCTAGTTCAGTTTCTAGTTCAGTTCTAGTTCAGTTCTAGTTCAGTTCTAGTTCAGTTCTAGTTCAGTTCTAGTTCAGTTTCTAGTTCAGTTCTAGTTCAGTTCTAGTTCAGTTCTAGTTCAGTTCTTTGTTCTATTCAGTTCTAGTTCAGTTCTAGTTCAGTTCTAGTTCAGTTCTAGTTCAGTTCTAGTTCAGTTCTAGTTCAGTTCTAGTTCAGTTCTAGTTCAGTTCTAGTTCAGTTCTAGTTCAGTTCTAGTTCAGTTCTAGTTCAGTTCTAGTTCAGTTCTAGTTCAGTTCTAGTTCAGTTCTAGTTCAGTTCTAGTTCAGTTCTAGTTCAGTTCTAGTTCAGTTCTATTCAGTTCTAGTTCAGTTCTAGTTCAGTTCTAGTTCAGTTCTAGTTCAGTTCTAGTTCAGTTCTAGTTCAGTTCTAGTTCAGTTCTAGTTCAGTTCTAGTTCAGTTCTAGTTCAGTTCTAGTTCAGTTCTAGTTCAGTTCTAGTTCAGTTCTAGTTCAGTTCTAGTTCAGTTCTAGTTCAGTCTAGTTCAGTTCTAGTTTAGTTCTAGTTCAGTTCTAGTTCAGTTCTAGTTCAGTTCTAGTTCAGTTCTAGTTCAGTTCTTGTTTAGTTTGATTTTATTTCTAGTTCACGTTATGATTTTGGAATTATTGAACTTAAAAATTTCTATTGGGTCGCCCTTTCAAATCTACTATTTTCAACACCCACGGCGCATACTAATAAATGTTCATTTACCATTTATAGTTATTGCTTGCCATAACGTAAAAACGACAACTAAGATCGATACAAACAACCAATGTTATTAAAAAAAAAACTCCCATAAAGTAACTATTCCATTACTTACCTCGATATATGTTCAATGGCAAAACGAAATAAAACCAAATCCATTGGTGTACTTGAAAAGCCATTATAGTCACGTAAATAATAATGCATTAGTTTTTCCAATTTATTATAGTTTTCACATTCATCGTAGATTTTCGGTTCGGCATCTGGTTCTAAATAGTTACCAAAGAAAAGGTTGCGTAAATCATCGTCGGTTAGTTTAGCGCCTGGATTGTCCATACGATCGGAGAATGCCGATTCGAGGGAGAAACGTAAGTGTGTCTTGCAGGCATACGAGCACATTTCCAAAAGTTGGTCTCGGTCCTTTTGATCGATTAGACTAGGTTCAGCAAATATGAAAATATAAATGAAATTCAAATTTTGATAATGATAAAAGTTTAATGAGTTCTCCTTGGAGCATTTATAACAATAAATGAATTGGTTTTTGGGACATGGCTCCTGTTGTCCTTTTTACATACAACATTTATTTATTTTGAAATACAATACAAATAGACAGTATCTGATGGTTAATATTTTAATGACTTTTGCACCCTCTAAATAACAGTAAAGGTAAAGGGACAGATTATAAGGTGGTAAAGACAAGTTTAATGACAAGTAAAAAACGTTAAAATAACAATATTATCATTTCTAAATAATACCTTATGAACAATTGTACAATAATATTTATTTTGCCATCACAACTGCTGTTCCAGCTTGAAATCCCGGTCCCTGTTATCATTACTACTAATACAAAAATATCATAAACACATACTCATTCTAATTTTAACGGAAGCTTATGACATTTTAATGTCTCCATTATTTAGCAAAAATTAAAAGTAGCAACATACATACATACAGATATGGGTATGTATGTATGTATGTGGTTGTGTGGGTAGGTCAATTAGGTAGGTCCTAGATAATTTGAAGAAGAAATATAAATTTACTAAGTATTAATCTCACTTAAGTAGACGTCAATACAATTATTGCAAAATTTTAATTTAGAAGTCATTTTTTAAATTTTTGTAAAATTAATTAGATTGTTAAAATTTACAACCTTCTCTTTGAACACTGCTAATGAATATGCACTTTAGCATGGAATAATTTTAATGTGAATATATGTACAATATACATATGTATGTACATATGAACAAAAGTGTATATTTTTTTCATTAAAAAATTATCAAATGTTGAACACAAAAGAACAATTAAATACAACTACAAAAAAGTGGACAATAGAACAAAGCGTAGAAAAATAGCTATTCACATATGCATGCATACATACATAAAACACGTCTATGTATGCATACTATAACAATAGTAAAGAGGATATAAAATAAAGGCCAAAGCTTATAAATAACAAAATTCATTGTTTTCAACATAAATCTATATGTGCACATGTAAATACCAATTAACGAGGGTGGAGTTTTTTTGTGGCCACATATGTAAAAGTTCTGGTTCAGTTCTAGTTCAGTTCTAGTTCAGTTCTAGTTCAGTTCAAGTTCAGTCAAGTTCAGTCTAGTTCAGTTCTAGTTCAGTTCTAGTTCAGTTCTAGTTCAGTTCTAGTTCAGTTCAAGTTCAGTTCTAGTTCAGTTCTAGTTCAGTTCTAGTTCAGTTCTAGTTCAGTTCTAGTTCAGTTCTAGTTCAGTTCTAGTTCAGTTCTAGTTCAGTTCTAGTTCAGTTCTAGTTCAGTTCTAGTTCAGTTCTAGTTCAGTTCTAGTTCAGTTCTAGTTCAGTTCTAGTTCAGTTCTAGTTCAGTTCTAGTTCAGTTCTAGTTCAGTTCTAGTTCAGTTCTAGTTCAGTTCTAGTTCAGTTCTATTTCAGTTCTAGTTCAGTTCTAGTTCAGTCTAGTTCAGTTCTAGTTCAGTTCTAGTTCAGTTCTAGTTCAGTTCTAGTTCAGTTCTAGTTCAGTTCTAGTTCGTTCTAGTTCAGTTCTAGTTCAGTTCTAGTTCAGTTTAGTTCAGTTCAGTTCAGTTCTAGTTCAGTTCTAGTTCAGTTCTAGTTCAGTTCTAGTTCAGTTCTAGTTCAGTTCTAGTTCAGTTCTAGTTCAGTTCTAGTTCAGTTCTAGTTCAGTTCTAGTTCAGTTCTAGTTCAGTTCTAGTTCAGTTCTAGTTCATTCTAGTTCATTCTAGTTCATTTTTTTCTAGTTCAGTTTCTATTCAGTTCTATTCAGTTCTA